CATTGGCACCCAAAAGGGCACACTGTGTGGATGAAATTCTTCTTTGAGCACATCTGTTGCATGACAGAAGATTGTTCAAGCCTACAGGCGATGCAGAATAACATCATCAACATCAAGCAAACATCTAACCCATGAATTATCAAGCCAGCAGGCCAAATTGTGCCAAGTTTTGTCAAGCATTTGCACAGCGCTGGCAGGCTTTGTTTCGTCCTCATGGATTGTTCAACATGGTCGGTTCAGCCACCTCACTTCAAGAATCTAGAAGTTCCTGAAAGTGTATTGAAGGTAGCTACTGCTCCACTGCTTGAAGACGCGGAAGGGCATTAGCACAAAAAGAAAGCGATGCTTCTATCCATATGCCAGGGGCCCCTGGGCAAGGGGCCCCAGACAAGAAACAGTAGGCACAGAACGGAGGCCCTGGTCAGGATTGCCCAGAATAAGGGCTGTGTCTTTTTTTGAATCGGAGTTCCGCTGTGGTACAAATTTGTTGTCTGTTGTGGTGTAATGTTGCTTTGTCGTGTGGAAGCACTCTGTATGTCCAATATTTGCCTGCAGCTGTGCACACACATCTGAATCCCTGGCTTCATGCCTGCTTCGTTTCAGGGCAGGCCTGTGCTCGTCCTAGAGGTCGTGCGGCCGTCGACATCGGCAACCACTGACGACCTGGTGCAGCTAGCGGAGCAGTATGTCCAGTGGGGGGCAGATGCGCTGTGTGTGCCCACGGACATCGAGGCCAGCCTCAGTGGCCTGAAGGATCTCTTTGTCATTTCGAGGGCCACAAAAGTTCCAGTTTTGGCCAAGGACTGGTATATACATCCCATCCAGGTGCAATAGCCATTCCAAAGCAAGTGACAACTGCCATCTGGTTCACACTGCTCTTGTCATGCTCAGAGACTTCTTTGTCATCAATTGCTGTGTGGAAACACTTCCCAGTTCTTGCTTGGGAGGAAGAGGGACCAGCATTGTGACACTGTCCATCTTCAGCTCTAAGGACAACTATTATCTTTTTGGCTGAAAAACATACTGTGCTGAGCATGTCTGCCATGATCGTTCCTGTGTCACAGGCAAGGCAGAGCCCTTGTGACTGCAAGATGGTGGGGCAGCAAATTGTGTGTCATATTTGCTGTGCACACTCTTGGGCCAAATCGTGCTCTGCCCTTGGTCTGCCTTACACAAAGGAGAGTTTGTGACCACAGTGTTTGGTTGTGTAATCGCGAATACACATGGTATGGCTGTGATGGTTCTGGAAGCTACTGGAGCTGGGTCCACCACGTGGCACACGACTTGCCTTGCATGTCAATTGTTGGGTGTTGCAGCTAAAATGTTATCAGCATAAAGCTTGGATGATGCACACTCTGGGCATGTCTGCACTTGTGCATGTGTACTTTTGCAAATGTGAGGTGTCACAAGGCTGCCTGATTGACTGTGGTTGCTTCCATTGCAGTAACAACAACAAAGCCTGGTTGCCCAAATAGGTTAGGAACGCACTATGTACATGGCTTGTGCCAACTTGACAAGGCAATACAGATTTGGGATGCTCTGCCTTGTGGTATGCATGAATTGACCACATGACTGCCATGTAGATTGCTGATGCAAAGGACGCGGGAGCTGCTGGTGTCCTGGGTGTGATCGCTTCAGTTTCAGCGAAAGGGGCTCCAATCATGAGCAGCTTTGCAGCCGCCATTGGCCTGGACGCTCCGGTTGAGGTAAATGCTTTGTTCCTTTTCACCCTTGGTGGCAGTTTGTACCCAAGTGCCTATGAGGTACTTGCGCATATCCATCAGCTGAGCTTGTAAGCATTACAGCTGAGCATTGGGAGCCTTTACGGATGGCTATTGAAAGCAGGGTGATAGGCTGTGCACCACCTGGGCTACAGCTAACTGTGCAAGCACAGACCAGTCGTTTCTTTGAGAACGACTGCGTTTTAAATGTATGTTCAAAATCGACAGGTCAGTGTCCTTTGCCTTTTAGGCCATGCTGGTCTTCAACATTTTGGGCAGATCTGATTGATGATTCAAGCTGTAGCTGATGCTCCACTGCAAGCCAGTTGAAGTGTGCCAGGACTGTTCCGTGTTTGTTTGTTGTCCACAAATTCGTTGCGTTGTTGTGTAGTGCCAGGTTCAGTTTTGTGTTTTGTTATTGCCAGGTTGTGAATGCAAAAGAGGTGCAAGCTTTGGGTGATTTGGGGGTGTCGCTGTTTGGTATCAACATATCTGTCCGATTGTCGATCTCCATCCCAGGGTTTGCCACAGATATTGCCAAGGGCGTCATCACCCAACTGCCATTTGGGGCCATATCTCTTCTTGGTGTCCAGTCGCTGGAGGAAGCTGTGAAGGGTCGAGCGGTAAGAATGGACACAAGGGTCATGGGTTGCTGTGGGCGGTTTGCATAGGACAGCTTTGGTTGGGCCATTGGGCATCGCTTTGATGCTACATACATACAAACTTACCGAAGAGGCACCCTGACCAACTCAGATCGGGCTGGGATGGTAGCCTTTGGTGGGTTCCTGCAATGGACAGCAGGGCTCACTTGACTTTGCCAAGGGCGCCACAGAGCAAAACGAAGTGGATCTGGCGATGTTATTCAGGGAGGCATGCAGAGCTCTTTCTCTGCGTCGCGCGACCATTCAATTCTGCCTGCAAGTGTTCTTCCTGGTGTGCAAAGCATGAGCACAGTGTCGGATTTCTGCATGACTGCAGTCAGAGACGCCATCGTACAACGAGAAAAAGGTTCTCTTCATGGTGGTAGTGACCGACATGTGTTGTTTGCAAGCAGTGTTGCACGACTCCACCGCTTGCAACCAATGTCGTAACAGTTGGATAGATGCGACAAGAATTCCTGCCACTGCGCAGTCAATAGCATGTTTCCTTGATAAATGTCAACTTGTGTGTGCGATCAGACCAATGATATGCAACTTATATGCACCAACTTCTGCTCCGAAATTCCAGCGTTTCACTCGACAAAAGGATCTCTTTTTGAACATTTGCGGCATTTGTTTCCCTTTTCTAATTGTGATTTTGTTCGTTGTTGTTCTTCCAGGTGGTTCTATGCTATCTTTCTCAGTAGGGCAGATAGTTTTAAAGGTTGAGTGGATGTAGACTGCCTGTTGTGTCTCTTGCCCTCTTTCTTGACGAAACTTTCTGCGAATGGCCTGTACTGATGCATGGGGCACTGCATTTGGTACATCTCCTTATGCCTGCTCCGTTGGTTCGTAGGCAGGGGCAGACGCTCTTCTCATCAAAGAGGAAATGTTGGCCCGCCATGAAGGACCAGTGGAGGAGTTGTTGGAGCAGCTAAAGTACCTAACGAGCGGAGACGATTGAGGAACCGGTCGGCTGGGCCAACCGCATATGAACGGGGTACAGCAGTCTTGTTCCCTTCAAATCCTACAGCTTTGAATCGCCCACTTTGTGAATTGCTGGGGCGACCCTTCCATGACGCAAGATTGCTACACATGTACCGACAACACCACAGGCCATGGTTTCTTTGGCAAGACCCAATGAATTGGAGAATTCCAGCGAGTTGCATATGGCGCTCGGAATGGTGGGAGCCTCAGTGTGCACACCCCACAGAAAGGATGACGCACTGCTGGAAGCTATAAGCAGAAAAGTCTTGGGCGCAATTGCGGTAGCTTTCCTTGCCGCAAGGAGGCCGCTGGGAGAAGCAGAGCAATGCCACATACAAGAATGCAGCTGTTAGCACAAGACGTAGTTCAGTTTAGAAATTAAGGGACCTTGATTGGGGGACAGCTTTTGTACGACGTTTTAATTACTTTTCTGACGATCAGTCCAGAGCACCGACTACGAGCGTACACAGTTCCCTTGATGTCCGCCAAGAATGGAAAAGTACATGGATATCGCGGTATTTCGAAATCTGCACGACACGCATCCAAAAGTCGAAAGTTTAATTGCTCTCCCGGCGCCAAGTCCATCACAGAATGCTTTAGAATTATCAGCAGTCGCTGTCCGGAGGTTGAGCCCTCCAATCGAACACGTGTGCACAGCTGCTTGTAATTCTCAACCATCCGCACTCAACGTCACGGTACTTGACGGTGTCCAGCTTCTATTTTCTTGTCTTAAATCACACGTCACACGTCACGCTTTTCCGATTCCACATTTTGTATTACCGTATTGGCAAACATAACGATTGTTGCCTTTTACTCAGTCCAGGCGTTGAATTATGATTTCCTGATGGACGTCTTCCTTGTCACCATTGACGTTTTGGCTTGAGCTCATTCCCTGGCGCTTTATCAGCTTCAGGCGCGTATTCTGGCTCGCCTTCCCTCAGGCATTCGGGGGCTATTTCAGCAATGTAACCCAGGTCGAAACGTCGTCGACAATGCATGTCCCTTGGCGACAATTTTCGACCAATGTACAGGGCAGCACATTTTCCGGAGCGATGTTCGCACGATTTTGTAGGAATTGCTTTTGCAATGGCGAACTTCGACACACCCAAATGCTGTTGCGAACATGTTGCCTGAGGGTTCAGGTGCTTTCTGTTCGGCATATTGGGACCTATTATATTTTCTCTCAGATTGTGCGGTCTTTTGCCATTGCATTGGCCAGATGGGAGAAGCAGGACGATTCTTGAGAATGTTGGAGCAGACTTATCTTGATTCCAATATCTGCCATCACGTTTGTGGACCAAACATTGTTGTTGCCTGCGTACCTTAATTGCCTTGTGGGTGCACGGGTTTGTTCAAACGTCATTGAATAAATGCAGCTGTGAAGCCGCGCACAAGATTGCTTGGTCTCTTACTCTATTCACAGACTATCAGCAGAGAACAAGCAGCAGGTCAGGGCTGCCAGATGTCGAATTGAGGGCTCGCGACGCCCCGACATATTCAAGACGCCCACTTCTGGATGCATGGATGAGATCACGGCATCATGGTATTGCCGACAGTTTCACATGTAACCCGTCAGAAACTGAGTTCTTGCACAAAACGTCAGCAGTCCGTGTTTTGATTTCCGACAGATCAGTTAAATGGCTATCCGCTGTCCCCTTCGGCAAGCGCCTTGTTCGCTTGGCCTGGCGCTCTTGACCCCCTGGCTCACAGAACACCACGCGGACCTGGTCTCCTGGCGCCTATCCTTTGCCAGCGCCACTCTTGGCAAAAATGCAATAGGCGAGCGTTGTGTTGTGGCTTTCATGACTGACGTTAAGTATAGCAAAACTTCTGTTTTCCACTTATTATGCAACTTCGAATTAACTGCCAGCGCCTGCCACAACCGGTGCTACCACAACCACTTGACCACGTCACCACAACGATGGTGCTCTGCCACGCGCAGTCTGGTCTACTGTAGGACCCCATTCCTTGAAATGCGATTGTAATGGTTTCGCAGACGACTGCTTAGCAGTGAGCTCCAGAATATGACAAACCACCGAGGGAACACGTCGACGATCGGCCAACCCTGTTCAAGGCCAAATTTTCACATCTTGAAGGAATGGCCGTTGATGCGATTCAAACGCCCCCCTTTGGAGTGCACACGGGAAGTGCGAGTCCACGATCGCCGATACTTCAACGGGTTGGCGCACGGCCAGACGCAAGGCCACACCACACGCACAACGCCCAGGGCTTACATATGTGTTCACCCTTCCCACAACGAAGAGCCTTGCCGACGGTGGCAAGGACCCCCGCAACTGAACAATTCGAATCTCCTTGCACCCACAGAGCTTTCCTTTTCATGTGACAAGGACCATCATCCATCACCAACCAGCCATGCCGCACTTCAGAGATGCCCACTCATCGCCACAATACAACCCACTCTATAACACATATACTAAAGGGGCCCATACACACAATAGCTGTGCAGAAATATTTCAGGTGTGAGCGCGACCCTAACCATAGCATTTGTCTCTGAATCAGATGGCATCTCCCACAACAATAAAATTGATGCTCACAAAAGTACTATCACAAGAGAAATAATTCTGTGAATTCTAAAACGCAATTTTCTTTTCTTTTTCTAAATCCAGAATGACTTGCATATAAACAATATTCTTAAAGTGCATACAAGGCGCGCACCATAATGCACAAGTGATCCACCCAGTGCAACGGTGGCCATTATGCAGTGCTGCGAACGGGCCAGCAACTTCTTAGCCATGAGTGAACGGCTTTGAGGATAGACACACGCCCAAACTGGGCAGTATCCTTATTTAGGATGCACAGCCCCACCAGAAATTGAGAGCCGCGGTCAACACTGTTGAGGCAGATTTCCTTGAAATACTCTTGCTGCATAGGGTTTCGCTCAGTCGTCACCAAGCTCCCCTTGAGGCAGAACCTCCTCTCAATTTCATGACCAGCTAGCTTTACTACTAAAAACGCAAGCACTTGACCAGCTTTTTGTTTCCGTTTTTCTTTTTTCTTTTTCCTAGCTGGTAGTGGCATACTCGGGCCATCCCACACAGTCAGAATGCGTGTCAGACGCGAGTCCCTCGTCAGCTGACTCATAAGTGACTCACCCAGTGAAACGGTGGTCATTATGCAGCTGCGCGAACACACCGCTTTTTTTGTGTTCGCCAGCACCCGGCCTGCCTCTTGCCCGCCTACCCCACCCGCTAAACCCCATCTCGCCCTCCATTGCTCGCGCTCATTGCGGGGGACCTGCCGTTCCCAACCGCCCCAACCCCCCGCCCACCCCAACCATGGCGCTCTACGACACCGCCAACAACTTCTTCCTGTCCGACGAGGAGCTGGACAACAGCCCCTCCCGGCAGGCTGGCATCGACGCCGAGACCGAGTACCGCGCTCGCCTGCAGGCCTGCCACCTGGCCGTCCGCGGCCTCCTGTTCCTGCGGTGCTCCCAGTCCGTGCAGTGCACGGCGCAGGTCTTCATCCAGCGGTTCTACTGCAAGACCAGCGTTGCCGCGCATCAAATCAAGGTGAGCTTCCCGGGGGGGGGTGGGTAGTGGGGAGGGAGGGGCGCGTGCCGAGGAGATCGAAGGGGGCGGTTAAGATTTGCTATGAAGAGAGAGAGTGAGAGAGCGAAAGAAACAGGTTATACAAAGGGCAACCCCTCCTGAACAAGTCCGCGCGAGACCGTTTTCCTTGCTGGGAGAAGTTGTACAGAGGCTCCCAGGCGCAACGATGAGCGCACAACGCAAGAAGGAAAACGGGAGCATGCGGGTGCGCTGTGGTCTTTTGGGAGGAGGCTTTGGGCAGTGCAGCGTGCAAATGGGGAGGCGGGTGATCTCGCTGTGGGCGCTTTGTGAGCTGTGGGGATGGGCTGTCTATTCGGGGGTGAGGTGGTTTTTGACCTTGTTGATGGAAACGGGGACGGGGGGGCGGAGGGGAGTGTCCGTGGCTTCGCGCCAAAAAGGGGGCAGAGTGCGTGATGGGCGGCCAAATCCGGGTGGCCATGGCTGACAGTGCCGAACCTGGCAGCTGCTCGTTTTCAATGGTGCATGTGGCACTGGGACTCTTCAAGGAATGTGGCACCAAGCTCTGGTGCACTCGGAGGGTCTTCCTGTGCATCATCTGTCACCTGGTGGCCAAAAAGTTCAAAGATCTTGCCTGGGATTCCGATGCTCACATGCTTGGTATTCTTCTGTTCAGACGTTCCAAGGAAGGGGAGGCTGGGTGGGTTAGTAGGTAGTGCCCCCTGTCCAGCACGCAACCCCATGCTGCAGGGTCATGACAGATGGTGAAGAGGGGAAAATAGTCTGGAGCTTGCTGTGTTTGGTACTTGCAGCATCGATTGCCAGAAATCCTAATCACCCTAACACCCTCTCCATTCTATGGTGCTTGTCCTGTGGCCCCAGCGTGTCCTGTTCCCTTGAGGATTGGTGATGCCCTCCCCTGTTTGTCATCCCCTCCATGGGCCCATTGGCCCTTGTGGAGGTTTTCAAGCCTGCTTGTGTTGCTGGCCATGTTGTTGTTTGTCAGATTGCATGGAGCACCAGTCGAGAAAGTGTTTTGCCTTGGTCCCATACCAACAACTTCCTTCAAGTTTCGCTGGATGAGCGGGTTCAGTATTGTGCACTCAAACCTGAATGATGGACATGTGTGCTGTTCTTGACATGATGCAGCTGCAATTTCATACTGAGTCACTGGCGTAGGCAACAGTGTGCTTCAGTTGTGTTCAATGCTGTGTGGCGTGTGTGGGACTGACTTGGGTTGGCTTGTCACAGTATGTGGCCATGGGCGCCAGCTGGCTGGCTTGCAAAATTGAGGAAGCTGGTATCAGGATACGGGACCTTCTGCTAGTCTTCCACAGGGCCATCGCTGAATGGGAAGGGAGCAAGATGACACTGCTCGATTTGGGAGGCCCGGTGAGTGTGTCCTCTTGGAAATGTGCGTAGCATCTTGAGTGTTAAATATGCATTGTATTGGGCATCAAACATGTAAGATGCAAGCTATATGCTGCCCATAACAGCAGTTGTGTCTGGCATACAATGGACACAGCAAATTCTAGGTAAGACTTGCCACACTGTCAGTTCTAATATTGGCTTCTCAAAGGAAAGAGGTCTCCACAAGGAAGTTCCATCTGGCTATAGCGCATACAGATTAGGGAGCAGGAGATACTGTTGTTGAGAGAAGCACAGATATGCATCTCGATGCAGCATTGCCGTGCAGCGTTGTTGATGCGATGGTCAACAACGCTGAAGAAGGGTCTGTGTATCAGCACAGATGCAACGTTGAAATATGTATCAGCGCTTTGTGAATTTGGAAATAGGGGCACCTGGTGCAGTGTTGCTTGGCATTGCACCAAAGGCATTGCATCAAAGGTAGCCACGATGTTGCATCTATATTTACTGTGATTCCAGATGCAGAGTTGTTGGAAACGTTTACCACAATGGAAACACTTACAACAGGTTATGTCTCGCAGAGTTGTGCTACCCCTGTTCATTTGCAACCACACTTGCATTGTTCACTTGCCGACAGCTACCTTTACAGCTACCTTTGTCCCTTTTCCCCCTCTCCTCCTCTCCCGGCCCCTCAACCACCCCACCTGGCAGAAAGTCCACAGACATATGCATTGCAATCGTTCTTGCCTTGTCCACCGATTTTCTTTTGAAATTGTCTTGTTATTGAAAAGGCCTTGGCAGCACCTGTTTCTAGTGGTTTTGTGGCACCATAAGGTGTGCTGCCCCGTGCCCTGTGTTCTGATTTTTGTACACTGGATCTTTGGGCCAGGATGCTTGGAAGGATTCGGGTCCGCAGAGTTGTTGCTCCATTGCCAACAACCTGTTCGCTGCATGCCTCAAGCTGCCCCTACACACCACTATTGGATGTCTTGTCCGCCTTGTCACAACCAGGCAGAGTGTCCACCATTGAGATGTGTGCTCCTGCCTGCAGACCTATTGCAAGATGAAGGTTGAGGTGGTGAACATTGAAAAGGAGCTGCTCCGTAGTTTCGGCTTCCTGCTGCACACGGGGCACCCACATCGCTTTCTGCTGACTTATCTCAACACATTGAAGCTACATGACATCATGCAGGATGCATGGAACATAGTTAATGACAGGCAAGCATGAAAATAACTGCTGGACTTTTCGTTAGCGATTTATGCTCATTGTTTGGCCGGTACTCAAGAACCACACCTCTGTGCATCATTTTTGACAATGGCTATGCCACTAACTGCCGAGTCGTGGCATTGTGAATGTTTTCAATGCTTTTGGTGTGTAAAGTTCACCAATGGATGAGAAAGCGATGATGTGGTCATCGTACCTTAGCCTCAAGCTCCCAGAGTATCGTTTGGAAAATGTGCCTACAGTGCACTGAGACAATCACCAGTGTTATTTCACACAGCAGAACGTGCAGTGTGCAGGAGCTTGGGCGCACATTCTAACCGAAACCCGGTGATGGGAGTTTGTTTTAAACATGAAACATGTGCTGCGCATTTGGGGTATTTTTTCTTGAGACTTGTTCCAACTTTTATGTTGAGCTAATTTGTTCTCAGTACAGCACATTATTTGTGTTGACATGGAAAACACACAGAAATGCTTCATGTCTTGGGGACAATTGAAACCGTTGCTCTGGTTATATTCAGCTGCAAAACAAAGGAATTGCAACATAAACTTACAGACCCCATTGCAGCAGCTTCTTGTCAGTGTGCTCAGGCCACTGTTCCTGCTTCCAACAGCTTAAGAATTGCCTTCATCGGTTGGTACAAGCAGAATGCGAGAATGAGAACGCGAATTCCAAGACAGCAATATCTTTCCAGCGTGTGTTTACCTGCTGAGGGCATTGTTTGTGCTTTCTGCAGCTTTAGAACAACCTTGTGTGTACGGTTCAAGAGTGAGGTTATTGCCTGCGGTGCAATCTTCATGGCCGCACGAAAAAAGAAGGTGAGTTGGGCCTGTCTTCACTAAGACGAAGTGACACTCCTTGTCTTGTGAAGGAACAACACGAGAGCAGAGTTCTGCAAGTTGCATTTTATTTGCCCTCATATTGCGCAGGTCAATGTGGTTGTTTGGCCAACTATTCCAAGGAAACCATATGGCACATGGCGACACATGTACACTTGGCACAACTGTTGTGCGTGGAAATGTTTCTGTCAACGTCGACAAGGTGCAAAGGGCCTGTTTCTTGTGCATATTCGACAGGCATGTGTGACATGTGGAACCAAGCGAGTTGTTCATTGTGCAGGTGCCTATGCCAGAGCAACCACCATGGTACGAGCTGTTCCAGGCACGAAAGCATGAACTGGCGGAATGAATGCCAACAGACTTACTTCGCCGAGGACGTAAAAGCCTCGGGCTGCTTTCGCAAACGACCCCGATCAGCCAGGACCTTGGTGAACGGCAGGCAGGAGCGCAGGGAGGGCAGGACGAGGTGGTTTGCCCCCCCCCCCCCCCCCCCTCTCTCACTGTTGGGTTCACTGTGGCGACGCGTTGTGCTCTGTCCAACAGTATTGGATGCATTGTCAAAGCTGTTGGTTATGCAGTGTTTGCTCTCAATTTGTTCATCGTATTTGTGACTCTGCGCTTGTTCGTGTTGTCACTGTATTGATCTCACCTGCAACATACTCTGCGCCGCCTGCGAGTATTTGATACAGTGCCAGTTTTGTTTTTCTAGGCCAGTTGTTATTCCTGAACATTATCGTGTAGCGCATTCAAGTTTTGACTCCTTCTTAACGCAGCACATCTCTTACCTGATCCTTGTGTATGCTTCGCTTGGTGTTCTCCACCATTCTCGCTTGTGCATTGCATTGGCTTTGTCTCTGGAGGCTTTCTTCTGTTTGCCCTTCATAGTGTTGGAAAGGGTCGCAAGTATATTGTTGGATGGGCATGCCCAGTGCATGATGTCCTCGTGACAATCACTGCATCACGTCCTTGTTCCAGCCATTGCCGTCTGTTGCGTGGGGTCGCCGAATGGGCTCAAGGGCAGCGATGTGCCGAACTTCGACGAATGTAAATTTGCCATTTGGCGTGTGGGCGGCCAGCTTCAACATGCCCAGCAGAGCCACAGCCCCGCAGCGGCTACGACACACCGCCAAATGGCAGGCGCGACGCTGCTCTGCGCACCAACACCAAAAAATTGGACAAGAACGCACGAGCCGCGCCACTTTTTTCTTACATTTTCTATCTTCTATTTATATATTTTTCCCCATTTCCCCCCTCTTTGCTTGCATTGCGCGTATTTTCCGGCCTTGCGTCCCGCCGCTTCCCCGTGGTTTGTGCCTGACCCATGCGCCCGCCCCGTCCAACAGGTCAACATCGTGTCCAACTCCAGCAGCGCCGCGACGCCCAACGGCCAGCCCGCCAACGGCCGCGTGGCGCCCCAGCCTGCGTCTAATGGCGCTTCCCGCCCCCCCGGGGATGCCCACAGTGAACCCCCTGACCGTGACGACCACGGATCCAGCCGCAAGCGCCGGACCGACCGCGACGACCAGGCTGACGACCGGGGCGCCAATCGGGATCGGAGTCGATCGGACAGGAAGCGCGCCCGGCGGCGCGACTACCATTCGGCTTCGGCGAGCGCGTCCAGCTGGGAGCACGAGCGGCGGCGGAAGGAGGGGGAGAGGGACAGGGACAGAGACAGGGACAGGGATGGGCGGAGAGGGGGGGAGTACGAGCGGGAGGCGGCGTACCAGCGGCAGAGGCGGGACTCGAGGCGGCACCGGCACCGCAGCGGGCCGCGGTAGTGTAGGGGCGGCTTGGGGAGGTTCTGGGCGCTTTATGTGTTTTGGGTTCTGGGGATTGTTGGGCAGCGGGCGTTGCCGGACGGATTGTTTTTTTCTTCTTTTTCGGTTTCTTTGTAATTTCCTAATTCTTGCTCTTGGTTCGTGAGGTGGATGTTGCAGATGGACTCTGCGCTTTTCGTCGCCCTCCCGGCGACCGGCCCTGGCGGAAGCCTGGCGTGTGTTACGTGTCAGGTGTTAATCATCCATTGAAAATGCCAACACTAAACACCTATTGCAGCAGACGCACCCACAGATATCACTACCCTGGATGGTGGTCTCAACAATTGTGACAAGCGAAGGGCGCGGTGATGTGACAGGATGACGACATCAGGACAGGGTGCCAGCCCCTCCCTGACTATGAACTGCTGTACGACGTGACAACGACAGCCGTGTATACAGTCACCGGGCCATCACGCTGTGCAGTGCTGCTTGACGTTGACCGTTATTCAGAGAAGTGCCGCGGCCAACGAAACACAAGAATAGAACAGCGGCCGCGCAAACGATATGGAAGAGTTTGCAATGCGGGGAATCTTGGACACCGGAAATTGTGGAAACCAGGAAAAGTGCCGACAGGGGAATCGTCGCGTCGTGATGCTCTCCGTGAGCATGCCCAGTACCGCTGCGCACCATGTGCAGTCTACAAAGCCTTCTTCCCAACTTCCCTCAGCGCCCCTCTCAAACACAAGACAAGACACTCCAGCGCCCCGGAAACGGGGCCGAAAGTCCTGCGACGGTGGCCAGAAGCAGGAATCCGTCCGCAGCCCAAACCCGTCCCCCGCTTCCCTTCCACCGGACCCCAACATCACCGCCGTTCCTCACAAACCAATTGCCGTCCAAAAGTACGCGCAACGTCCCTTAACTACGCCGCGGTTTCCCGCCACCGCGCCTAACTACAGCCTGGCTGCGGCCTGCCGCCCCGCCACTGACCCACATACTTTTGCAAGGCCTCAGGGGCTCCGTCCAGGGTCCCCGCGCGGCCCCCTCCCCCCGCCAAGTTTCTATCGCTTCGGCCAATCCTTGTCCTCCTCATGCCCGCCAATGGCTCGATCGTGCCCCTTGCTGCGGGCTGCGCCGTGGCGGTGGATTCATGGAGCGGCCCGCGCCCACCCGACGTCCGTGCGCACTTCCTGACGCACTTCCATGCCGACCACACTGCGGGCCTGGGCAACACATGGGACCGCGGGCCGATCCACTGCTCGGCACCCACTGCGAAATTGGCGGCCGCACGGTGGCCCGGGCTGGCGCGGCGCCTGAGGGCGATGGCTGTGGGGGAGACGGTGGCGATGGACCTTGGGGGGGCGGTCGTGGCTGTCACGCCGCTGGACGCGCGGCACTGCGTGGTGAGTGGCGATCGGCGGGTGCTGTGTGGGGATGTGGGGACGTGGAAAAGTTGTTTCAGGACAGGATGACTGGGCACGAGGCCAATTTTGCGAGAGCTTTGGGGAGATTTGGCCGGGCCCCCGAGGCAAAGCAAAGCAGATAGAACGTGGGGATGAGGGGGAGGGAGGAGGAAGACCGATTGGCGGTTGATGGCGGGGTCCGCGCTGTGGGCGAGGACAGCGCTTGGGTCCATCCACCTTGTATCCAATCGTGGGCCATGGGAACTCTTTGTGACAGCGTTTGTTGTGCTATATATTGCGTTGGTGGTAGTGCAAATCCCCCTTCTTTTCGCCCTAAACTGTGTACCACCTGGTAACGGTGGTTGCACAAAGCGGTTCCAGAACAATGTTGAATCATCAGATGGGTCCACCCGCCTGGAGAAGCATCTGAGCACCTGTTTCGATTGAAGGCTGTTTAGAAACTCCAATAGCATTTGACCAACACGCATTCCACCTGTGAGCTCTCAGCTGTTGCAATTATCAGGAAAAGAGACAGAGCACTCAAGAAAGAAAAGAGAGCACTTCCCTTGTGACTTTCAGGCTGCCATAGGCACTGACCATGGAAGCACAAGTGTGCTTCTGGCTAACTGCATTCTCTTGCCGCATCGAATGGCCCACAGATCTGCCAATGCTCCTTGAAGAAAACCCCACTCGGAACACAATGCCGATTGATGTTTCTTTGCTCTCCATAACCTGTAAGGTCCAAAGGCTTGAAACGTACTGTGTTTGCGATTCATGGAATTACCAGAATAGCAGAAATAGAGGTTTGGGCAATCTAGTGTGGGTTCCCTGGTAGCCACCCGTTCGCCCTGATCGTTGGCTCGTTGTGGCACTGCTGCAGGGGTCTGTTATGTTTCTTTTTGAGGGCACTTTTGGGCGGGTGCTTCACACAGGGGACTTCAGGTGCACCATCATGTGCTCGAAATGACCAGCAAACAGGCAATGGATGTCGTGGACAATGTTGCAGATGCCATGGACAACAACTTTCCTCTCTTTTTGATGTCAAGATAGTTCTGTCTCCCAGATCGATCTTGTGCTCTGTTTAATTGAACGCCTCTTCTGATGGGCTTTGACAACATGTACACTGTCTCTACCACATTTGGCTAATTTTCCTGCCCTCTGAGGCACAGCAGCTTCTAACCCATGGCCATCACCTGTGGCTGCTGTTTGAATGCTCTGAATCACCTTGTAGAACAATTAAAGTCCTGCCATTTGTGTTCATGGGAGGAGGTTTGAACAAATGGTGAACGAACAAAAACTTTAATTACACAAATTGTTCCATGCACACGGGCACTATTTCGATCTGCAGGGAAGCGCAAGTGGAAGGCTGTTGTTGGGACTGGACCCAGGGTTTAAGTAGTATTTTGGCGCTGATGTGCACAGATGGGATGTGCAGTCACTGCCTCATGAGCTGCTACGCGGCCCTTTGGATGTGCTGTACCTCGACAACACTTACTGCAATCCAATGTGAGTGGCTTCACTACCTTTGAACCTGCCAAATGTTCTTGAAACGAAGTAGGCTGGTGGGCACCCTGGCCAATGTTGTCCAAGCTCGATTCCAAGCGATTGTTGTGATTCTTGGTTCAAGCATAGTGCCATGGCAAGACAAGGATATCTCCAGTTGCCCTTCTCTAGCTTCGCCATGATGTTTTCATCCTTCTGTGCATTGCAAGGCCCTTTGTCGTTATCAATGGGCTGTGTGCTGTAGATACACATTCCCTTCCCGTGAGACGGCTCTGTTGATGATCGAAGATGCAATAAGAGCCCACCCTGGTCACCAGGTCGTCATTGGGCTTGACACTGTGGGAAAAGGTGAGCTTGCTTGCTTTGGTAAGCAAGTGTGTACAACTGTTGGGCTGCGGAAGTCGCTGAGCAAGGAGTGCTTCCCTTGTATCAGGACCTGCCTCGCAACGTTTGTTCGATGATATGTGAGGTTGTCTTTTGAACAGGGTATTAAGTCAATACCCTGTGAGATGTGCCAATGCTATGGACATAACTCACGTTATGCCTACGCCATGTGGAGTCGAAATGATCCTCCTTTGTTGCTTCTCTACACAGTGCTGTAACAGAAGAGCTTCCTTGCTCTGATGCCCCCGTTATGTGATACATCACACAGCTGCCAACATCCAGTTGTAGGTTCGGGCAGATCTGTTCCATTGTGCTGTGTCACTGAGGCCTGATACTCAGCAGAATTCCAAATTTTCAGTAACCAATGCAACTGCCTACATTGTTGTCAAGTGTATGACAGAGGCAACACCTGGTGCAGTTGATCTGCTAACACACCTGTACGTTGCCCGCAGGCGAAGTTGTGAGGGCCTTGGCTGAGAGCTTTGGCGTCCCTGTGGCGGTGTCCCAGGAGCGTGTGCTGCCATTGCGACTGGCGGGTGTGCCTAAGTCTTGCTACACGTTGGATGAAGCCTTGACATGGATTCGGGTGATGCCCAAGTGGAAGGTGAGCATTGCGCCACTGTAGACCAGCCATTTTTCAGCTCACCCAACACTCCAGGTCACATCTTTTTTGAGTGGGGAAGTGGCGGTGCATGTCATCCCAAGGATGGCATGCTCTGGGTGACAAAAGAAAGCTATTTTGCAGCTATCAACTGATGCCAGCGGCCCCACTGACTTGTAATATGTTGGTTTCTCACTTACTGTTTGCTGCGCTAGGTGACCAAAGCCTTCATTGCAGAACTGCAGGAGCACAGACCAACCATTGGTATAGTGCCAACTGCATTGTTTGCTCATGGAATCCAAGCAGCAGCCAGAGAAGAGACCATCGTGGCTGCGAATGGACAATTGGCCATGGTCCAACCTCTTTCCTCAAGTCTCACCCTGGAACCAGCTGCCCAGCAAGATTTGTCATCGCTCTGGCCAAGGAATCCTGCACCAGCAATTGGCGATGGCGACTTTGACTGGGCAATGCCTACTGACATGGCACAGGGCAAGGATTGCCGGGAGCAGTGTCTGCTGTTTCACATCCCATACTCGTCCCACTGCAGCTTTGCCGAGATGGGTGCCTTTGTTGCCCAGCTGCGCCCCAGGAAAATAGTGCCCGTCGTGCCCCCCAAGGAAAGGCCCGGCATGGACATCGATCCCCGACACCATTTCTCAGACTTGGTGGCTGGGGCCGATGTTGGTGGAGGGTCAGGTCAGATGGGGGCACTGCAGCCGCAGCTGCCTGTGGAACAGCAGCAGCTTGTGGATCGGTTTGTTTCCGCCGAGGCAAGGATGGCAAAGAAACGATCGACTGGAAAGGGTGCCACGAGGTTGCCGACGAAGCGCCTGCGAGTGAGGGCGTTCTGGAACAGCATCAAGAAAAAGGGGGATTTGCATAGCTTGGGAGTGGCCCGCTCTCTGGGGCTGGCAAGGTCGTTCTCCAAACAATCGGATATGTTGGTGGAGGCAACTTCTGGATTGGCAGAGATGGCGGTTGTCGACCTTGTGCAGCCACACAGGAGTAAGGGGGCTTGTGGCGAGGAGGATATGGGCATTGGTGAACATTCTCAACACGGCGACCATCGTGTGTCTTGTGAGCAAGAGATGGGCAATGGCGAAATCACTCAACACAGTGATCTGCGCATATCAGGTGGGGATGATGAATCGATGGATGCAGCCTTGGGTGTTGAAAACGTGTCACAGCGAGGTGTTGTTTCAAAGCAGGAGGATCGCAGGATCTGGTCCTGGGCCAGCACTGCAATCGAGGATGGATGTGAGGGGCCATTGTCATGGAACAGATGTGAGAGAATGATCCGTGCTCAGTCGCCCGAAGATTTCAATCAAGGCGTTGGCAGCAATGGGCCATCAATGGAACCCCACAATTCACAGACACCACAGGGAGGATCAGAACATCACCACACTCCACAATCGCCATGGGCCATTAGCCTGGGAAACAGCACTGAAGCTGCCATTTCTCCTTGTGCAGCTCAGACAAGGCCAAATGATGTGTCAGTAGGCACAGGGGCGCCCTTTTCCTTGGCACGGAAGAAAGTTAAAGCTGTGCGGAGAGTGCCAAGCTCAGTGGCAATTGCACGCTGCAGCATTCGGAACAGGGTCCGCAAGCAGAGGCCACTGCTGGACTCCTGCACTGCATCGACATCTTAGTGGCCAGCCCCTGGGACAGCCCGACAGGCTCCCGGATGGTGATTTGTGCAATTTGTGACAACAGTCGTCATTGTGCAATGGGAGCTGTCTGCCAGCCATTCCTGCATGACAATTCTTTGCCCAGATAATCACTCGCCCTGGATCTGAATTTGCGTGACTTAAGTTGCGTTAATGAATGTCTTTTAAATGCCAGACTTCGTCGCTGCTTCGCAATTTTCTGTTGCACAGAATCAAAAAATTATTGAGGACCTTTGAAGGGATGCTTGGCACTGGTGCTGGCTGACAATTGGGCGGCTAGGGATAGAATTGCAGATCAAAACAGGAGGGAAATTGGCCTATTGAGCTGTGATGAGCTTCTAAGCTTGGGCAGAAACAAGGTTTGTAGCGTTACTCAGTTCATGAGCACATCTGGCGAACAGTCCAATTGTATTAGTTGAGATCAGTTGCATTGGCGCTGCCAACGCCGTTGAAATCCTTTGATTTCTCCAAAACCGACAAGATTGAATAGCCCTTACACCTGAAGAGATGCTGTGTCTGGACTGTTTCCTTTCTGTGCCAAATGGCAAGATGTAGGCATGGGAGACAGAGCCTGAATTGGCACAGCATGGACCGATAGTTTCAGGGAGTTGTAGCTTCGATGCAGAAGGAGCACTGGCAGATATCAATGGAACAATAGGCAGGACGGTCAACAGCATCGAATCTAGAGAAGGCAGTGCAAATAGATCAGCATTTGGCAGGCAGTTGGTCGAGGTTGAACATCGATTTTCTGTAATGATTGGTTCCCAGACGGCGAAACACGTGCGCGTTTTGTTTAACTGATACCGAGTTGTTTTGGCTCTGTGCGATGATTGTGCCCAATAGTTGGCGGAGTGTTGATGCTATAAGATGTGCAACGAAGCCTGCTCATCCTAAACATCTGTAGCGAAGGTATATGAACCACAAACTATGAACAGGCACTGTCCATTCACAGAGGATGGATTAGCCGCTGTCAAAAACGTCGCTGCCAAAGGCAACCCCAGTATGCATGGATGGATCAGTTCTTTCTGTGGCACACTTGGTCCTGAAACGCATATCACTTGCTCCTCAGCCATAACCCGCACTGCGTTGTGTTCGTTTTGCAAGTTGCAACGACCACTCATGCATATTACGTATTGAGGTACGTTGCATGCAATAATTTACTCGCTTAAAGCAAGCAAATTAGTAAATGTAACGTACGCCAATACACGGACTAGTTCGTGTCCCATCTGGCCATGACTGCACCTTGCAATCCTTGGCCGAAATCCCCACTCAGCGCAGCCTAATCCCAGACACCAAATCCCAGAACAGACACCAGTTTCAGAAAACAAAACAAAACAAAACAAACAGAACAAAACAAAACAAAACAAAACAAAACAAAACAAAAGAAAACAAAACAAAACAAAACAAAACAAAACAAAACAAAACAAAACAAAACAAAACAAAACAAAACAAAACAAAACAAAACAAAACAAAACAAAACAAAACACCAAAACACGCCCGTCACGCGAATTCATGGACGACTACCCTCGTTGATGTGACACAATTCCGACACATTGACTGAATGGATTGCCCGGCCGCAAATGGACATCGCTGTATGGGATCTGGCCACAACTCTGTTGGCTCCAGCTCGTTCCCGGACAGCCTCAACGGTGCCGCTTCTCTGGTGGCGAATCAGCTATCAACGTCTCGGATTCATTCCTACCATTTACTCGTCATTTACGACGTGGTTGATGGGGACCAGCAACTTAGCGGACTGGATATAGTACTGTCCTTTATTCACAATGCCCAGAAATTCGAATTCGGAAATCCAACTTCCAAATTCGAACCCTCAGGCTGGACGCCCGCGCTTTTCCCGCCCCCACTTCCCTGCCCCCATAAAGGCCCCCGCCCCCCGCGCGTGACCAACCGATTCAGACAGCCCCCGCAGCCCACCGACCCCGCCCGAGCGACTGCATCAACTGCTGCCGATCGACTCGACCAGCTATGGCCCGCACCAAGCAGACGGCGCGCAAGTCCACCGGCGGCAAGGCCCCGCGCAAGCAGCTGGCCACCAAGGCCGCCCGCAAGAGCGCGCCCGCCACGGGCGGCGTCAAGAAGCCGCACCGCTACAGGCCGGGCACCGTGGCCCTGCGCGAGATCCGCAAGTACCAGAAGAGCACGGAGCTGCTGATCCGCAAGCTGCCGTTCCAGCGGCTGGTGCGCGAGATCGCGCAGGACTACAAGACGGACCTGAGGTTCCAGGCCAGCGCGGTCCTGGCGCTGCAGGAGGCCGCGGAGGCGTACCTGGTGGGCCTGTTCGAGGACACCAACCTGTGCGCCATCCACGCCAAGCGCGTCACAATCATGCCCAAGGACATCCAGCTGGCGAGGAGGATCCGCGGGGAGAGGGCCTGATTGAATTGGCGTGGGGCGACTGGTGGGAGAGGGGGGTGCTGCCGGGGGGAGGACAAAGGATCGAGTGCTGCAAGGGGCACTCGTCGCGAGATGTGTTGACTGGAGGGAGGGGTGTGGGGAAGGGGAGGCGGGGCGCGCGCAGAGGGAATAATGCGCGCGGGTGTGCATGGGCGGGGATCGCCATTGGCTGTACCATGGAGAACTATTGAGACCGTGTAATGATGAGCAGATTCGAGAAAAGAGAGTCTGGATTGCCTGTGCTGGGGCCCGGCTTCGCTCGCCTTAGAGACCAAAAATGGTCCTGCCGGCGCCGCCGTGTTTACGCGCGCCTCACGCCTGGCTGAAGGGATAACGGCTTCCTAACGGTCGCCATCCCTTTGCCAGATTTAGCCCTGGCAATGGGCGGCGCTCGGGCGCCTAGGATCTTGTCTTGCCTATGAACGCCCAGGCGCTGGACCAGAGGATCGGGGGCTAGCGGGCTCAACTCGGCTGATGCACTGTGGGACGACAGGTCCGCAGGGAACTTGCGCGCATTCGACGTTTTGGGCGCTGTTGATCTCCATAATGGAGTAGGGGGCTGCCAAGTTGTCTGACTGCTTAGAATCCTAGACAAGCGTAGTACGGCATCCAATTAGTGCAGTACAGTGCAGTGCAGTGCAGTATATTGCTGCATTCATAAGTGGGTTAAATTCAGATGGTGAATGAAATCTCAGTCTATCTGCATGCGGGGTCTGCAGGTTGCCTCCATGAACGATTAGCGTGTCATGCAATTGTGAACAATATAATGTGCTGAAAAAAGGCCAATCAGGGGCTTCCGTCCATTCTCATAAACTACGCCGTATTATAGCAATCTCAAGCTGTAGTGCACAACAATACACAGCCCAAACACCCCCACACGCACTCCTGAGCACACCCACCACTCTGCAACGTTCAACTCTGCCCGACATCGCCCCGACGCGCTGTTCAATCCCCGAAAAGTGAACTCGACAGTGGCTTTCCACCAGACTCTGGATCTCCGTTCTACTCTGCAATGTTCTGCCCTGTCGTGCACATGATGATACATCCACCGACCGACTCATTCATTTAAACAACGCAGGCCAAACGCCGCCTGCGCACCTACCCAGGAAATCGCCGATGCACACCTGTCCCCTGGCATTTCCTCAGGAGCGGGTGCCCTTTTGCACGACCTGTCCTTGAACCAATTTTCCCCCTCGCTGTCAATCCTTGCTCATTCACGAGAGAACAGTTCTGCATATATCTGGCGGAATGCCACAGCACCTGCCCCGGATGCCATCCACGCCTCTCACTACCCTGTGCGGATGGTGAAGAGGATGCCTGATTAGGAAGAGGGTAATGCAACCCCGCATCCACGCTTCCACCCAACACCTCTCACCTCCACGCCTGGCCCTGCCGCCTCCGCGCCTCCACCTTGTGCCCGGCGTGGAAGACGTCGTACCGCTCCTGCATGAGCCCACCCTTCGGCACGAAATTGGCCACGCGCGCCCCCGGCCTCCAGTACAGCATCTCTCTCCCGGTCGACGGGTGCATCGCCCCGGGCGCCGGCCGCACCGCCAGCCGCCCGGAGAATCGCGAGTCGTCCCACGCACGGGCGCAGCACGCGGACTCGCGGGCGGTGAGGGGGGCGGCCTGGAGGATGGGGTACATGTCGGCGCGGCCGTCAAGGCGGCGGGCGGAAGGGTCGCCGTTGGCGGCGCGCAGTGGGGGGCGGGCGGTCCTGGGCGCGGGGCCGGCGCCTGCGCAGGGGCAGGACTAGTTACGGATCATAGATAGAATGCCATAGAAAGGGCACAACAGTCCAAAGCAAATGAGCGTGAGGCTCGTTGCCATGCTACGAGAGCTGATATGGAGCCTTCCTGAAGGGGAGGATCGCACAACAGTTGCACCACGAAGAGCGAAAATGTGGACCAAGGGGCCCTGCAGAGGGCCCGGCGGAGCGTGGGGTGGAATTGTTGCCAATGATTGCGCCAGCAATTTGTTGGCGGGGTTCGATCTGCTGAGTTCTGTGAGGGAGTGTTCTTGGCTGTCGACTGCAATCGGTGTTTGTTAATTGGTTCCTGTGTGGGGGTAGTATACTGCTATTTTCAGGAATTGTTGGTTTTGTAGAATTATGTCGAATTTTAAACAAAGCTTTCGCAGTTTCTCCACGTTGTGAAAACTTGAGTTGAACCGCGATTCTATCTAATCGAATCGAAGCTTCTTTTTTATTGGCTATTGCGATAGATGAACGTTTCATGGAGCAGACGAAATCGTACCGACAGAATTCCTAATGCAAAGTGTTAAAACAGTGCCTACAATTCAATTCGACACTTAGGCTGTCTAAATCAAGCACTGGACGTACAGAATAAGCAGGAACCATCTAGCGCATGGATTCTGACTGGAATAGATATCATGCATTGTTCAAAATTTGGATATCAACAAATGATATATACCGCCGGCAAGTTTTTGCACTAATTGCTATATTTTGGTTTGAAACCAGCATGTCCTGCCGAGTATGGCACAAGGACATTTTTTATAAGCGCCGCTCACCAATGATCACTTCCTGTGCCGATGGGTTTTCTTTCTGGTACTTTGGCACAATCTTTTTGACAGAGGGCGTCTTCATGTCTGACCAACCCTTGGGGGCGCCTCCCCGGAAAGTAGATGCCATGAGTTGGGCCTTGGTCGCCGCCACACCAACCACGGGCTTCTTTCCTTTCAGAGGATGTATCAGCCTGGGCGCGCAAGACAGAAGACGCCTGACGCCCCTCGGAGCGCCGCTTACTTCATTTAGGCTATTTGCATTTCCATGCACATGGGAGTATCCACGATGCCAAATAGGATATATTCCATCCTACATATGGGTACACATAAAATTCCAGCGCTGGGCAACACTGCTGCCGTCCCCATCCATGTGAACGTTCCTTGCACTGATGAAAAATGCCCTCACAATGAACATGGGGATGCACGAGACAGTATTCGGTCACGTTTGAACTTCGTGCGAGATGTGTCATGGATGCAGTGTGCTGCAACTGCGTCAGTTTTACGCGGCTTTTCAGCAAGCTATGCCTAAATTGATACCCGATTTTCATCAACATAACTGTGAAAAACGCTTGTGTACAATGCGCAATTGACAGCTTGATGCCAGCCATCGGCAACCTGTGTCCAATCCACGAGTCCGACAGGGGCGTCCGCTTGTCTTGCGCGTCTGCCTCTGGCTTCTGTTGGATGATGCCGAAGAGGTCACGCCGGCCAGCCAGCTCCTCCGGCCCGGGCGGCCGCAGCCTTCCCTTTGTGGGGTCGATGAGCATGTTGCCAAGCCACTTGTCGTCGGAGTGTTGACCTGCGCATGGGAGCCGACGCATATTGTGACTCTGCGATTGTGATTGTCGGGAAAACTGTCGATTGTCAAGTACAAAACTGGATGTGAAGGGGAAAGGGCCACAGCACTGCCTGCCTGGCATTAAATCACAGGAGGACATGGGATAATGTTTTACAGCGTATGGCTGTGTGCATGGCACATTGTACCTCTGCCTGCGTGCCGCCAACATCGCATAACTTTGCGATGCAAAAGACGTCAATGCTGCAGCTGTAGCGCTTGAAACTGCATTGTTCAGAACAAGGAATCTTCTTAATATCGCATGCTTGCGCTCCCGTGTGCTGTGGGTGTTGTGAGCAATCTCACGCACACGGACGTGTGCCCGTCAGGGGCCGCTCTGCATTTACTGCAGAGTACGCACTGATTGCACCAAATGCACCCTCGACCATTTGAGCAGCAAGCGTCATTCATATTGACATGATAGTAGTGATTACTTGCCTGGTGGCGTTGTATTGGACAATGTTCGGGTGAAAGCATGCTGGCAAATTCCCCTTTCACACCTCGAGAGCGACGGGCAACGTTTCAGATTCTGGCAAACTCAGTCTCGCTTGCGGTCTCCGAACGTAACATCACTCGCGTCACATTCACATAACATCACATTCAGGTAACATCGCCGTGTTACGATCGTATCCCATGGCATGATCGCGTGCATACGATTCACGAACGCTGCACGCACAATAGATCACAGCACACGCCCAAGGCGATCCAAACCTGTTTCGGGGACAAAGTGGCAAACGTTCAGTAATTTACAGTATTTCTAGTGCTGCTTTTTTCTTGAAAGGGTGTTTATCCATCCACCCACCCACCCCACGCACCCCACCCCCCCAAACCCCACCCACCCACACACACCACCACCACCACCTGGATTGTTCCGAGAAAGGACGTCGTACAGGTCTCGCCTGCCTCCGGGGTCCCTTGGCGACCCCGCGGGCGCCTTGCCCTTGGTGGGGTCGATGAGCGCGTGGCCCATCCAGGCGTCCGGGTTGCTGTGCTCCGCGCACTGCAGCACGCCGAACAGGCTGCGCCGGCCGTTGGGCGACTTGGGCGTGGCCGGCTTCCTCTTGCCGGTCACGTGGGGCTCGGAGCGCGGGTGCTGGCCGGCGCTGGGCTCCTCCTTGAGGAGGGTGACGTCATCCCACCCGTGCATGTGGTAGCGGAGTTCCGTGGCGCGGGAGCCTTGCGTCGTAGCGGGAGCGCGTGCCGATCAGTTGCAGTCCTCTGAATTGGGATTTCTGGGATTGTGTTTGGTGGCAGTGTCACGTTTTGGAAAGCAGAGCCCTTCAGACAAGTTTGGCGATGGCGGGCGCATGGCGCCGCCAAATAAGAATTGTGGGTACAATTCTTGTACGTGTGCAATACGTACACGATTCTTACTCTTAACGTACACAATCCGCTCTGGTAAATTTGATTCATTCCAAGAACTTCTTTCTGCCCGTCATAATATCGGATTCTCCCAAGAGAATAGAAGTGCTTTCTGTGTCTGCGGCTGCGAAGTGCTGACAATGTGGTTGAAAGCGTTAGTGTTGAATCCCGGTGTCCTGGCGCACACAATTCGAAAACTCCAACTCGGGGCTTCTTTGATGCAGACTAACAAAACAACAGCTGACAAACTTTCTTACGTTCTTACTGTTGAACATCCAAATAAAGTACACCATACGTCGCCATCTTCCCCTTGTGGCCCAACAGGTGCAGCGGTGATGTTTCCGTTTTCTCAGTGAGTGCAATGGCCAGCGTTTATGCCTATAACGGCGTCAAGCAATGGATAACATTCTCCTCGAGACTGCCATGCTCACGTTTTGGTGTTGTATGATCTCCGGCGGATTGGGAGCCCCTCGTGTCCCCTAAGGGACATAATGTCGTCCTCGCAATCCTGAATGCAATTCAACGGTCTCAGTGTCGCTCCAGCAATCGCTCGTCAGGACCTGACGAAAACCTGGTTTCCAGGAGAGGCAGTCACAAAAATTTCATATCGACGTTTTGAAAGGGCAATTTATGTATCCTTGCTCACTGCGGCATGGAACATTCTATTATATTTAATATTCTTCACTCATACCATTTGTTAGTGTATCTTTTTTATTCATCAACTTTTGCTTGGCCCCTCCCGACTCAGCTCCATCTGGTCGTAATGTAAGCTGCCAAGTTGTACATCAGCTCATGTCAATATGTACCAAATGATTGCAATAATGATTCTCTTGACCACATAATAACCCGATATATATTGTACAAAGCGTTTCACGCTATACCTTCTACATGTCTGACAGTCCTGTCACATAAAACGTGCGACATAGCGCAAGAATTGATTACTAAACCAAGCACACATCCCCATGCTCATTCGGCTGAAGCGCACCAAGCATCTGATATTATCAATCAATACAAGTAGAATACTTTTTGGTAACAGCACATTGCATCTGAAATATCTGCGACTATCAGCCAGTTTACCTTTCCGGCCCCCCCTCATTGGTCAACGCCACGTGGGTTTGGATGCCAAAGGTGCTCCGATACGTGTTGAGGTCCTCCGACCAGCTGAAACGCGCTTCAAGGAGCGCTCCAAGTCAGCCCGCGTCATCGCTGCTCTATGCGATGCCATGCAGCAGGGGCTCAGGCGCGATACCGCCACGGAAGGCCTCCATTCGTCAGTTCCCAACCAACCTCTTGACCTCGAACTTGAGGGTCATCGCAGCAGTCCCGGCCGCAATTTGGCGCGCCTCAGCATGGAAGCACGCGGGGACAGTGCCCGTTGATACGGGGCGCAAAGTTTTGGACCGCTGCTGACAACAGTTCTGTGGTCAGGAATCGTGCCCGGGGATGTAAGGTCCGCCAGAGAGCGAATGGGGAGGCCGCAGGGGCCTGCAGAAATCGAGGTGGTCGTGCATTTCTAGTGGCTTTGGGATGGGCTGACATTGGGAGTCGATGAGATGGTCGAGGTCGACGCGGGTGCGACGTCCTGGATTTTGGATATTGTTGATATTTTGGATATTGTAGGAATAATTTTGGATTTGGTTGGGCTGTTCTGCGGATTCCGATCGGCAGCTGCCCCTGAAGCATTGCCCTTTCATGGACAATTTTGCAATGACACGGCTGTTTTGGAATAATAGAGAGCTAACAGATGGATGATGGCTGCTCTGTTGTGCAATGACAGATATGCATTATGATTCATAACGGTTCTTGATGGATTGATCAGTCTGTCCATCCAGGATCACGATTCTGGACGCTCTCGCGGTTCCTTGAATGAGCAAGGATCAGATCGCGCCCAAGGCTTGCTGCCGCCCCTCACGGCCAAAATCTGTTCAGTGGATTTACGGGCACCGGCGGGGATTACAGGGCCGCGTGTGCCTGTACGAATGGTTCCGATTGGTGTATTTTTCGACACGGCGGGCGAAGCCCTCCCTTATTCACGTTGAAAATGATTCGCGTTGCTCACGTTGAACGTATGGAGTCTGAATTCGTTTCAGCCCTTTTCAGTTCATGTCGGTTCACCTCAAGTTGCGGCCGAAGGGCAGCGTTTGTCTGATCAACCTTTTTGACTGATGTAATCTGTCTCCATTAGTGCCAGTGGAGCCCCAATGTACTGCATTTGGAGGCCCGGCCACCTCCAGCAACCTCTCAGCCTCGGAGGCGGCCGGCCCTGGCCCTGCCCAGTTTCCGTCGGCCGCTTTGCGCCGCGCGTCCGTTCTTCCGCGTTCGATCCGGCGGTACGGTAGCGTCTCCTTCGGAAGCTGGCGGCGAGGCATGGAGGACGATGGGATGATTTTGAACCTGGTCTGGAACGGCGAGGATAGGGAGACCGATGACGACGCGCAAGAGGTGTGGGCATGGCTTCTTCAACGGAAAAGGAAAAGGGCAGTGATACTGGCGCCCTCCTTCAGAGCAGCGATTCTGTGGTTGTCGTTTTCATGCCCTGCAAGATGTTGCAGAGGGCGCGAGCACAACGGGAACACAACACGAAAGCAGGACCCTTTGCAGATGGTTGGACGTGCGGTGGGGTCGCTGGGGGTTTGAAATTGTTTCGTTCTCCCCGTAGACGGTTGGTGGCCGATCGCTTCCGCCTGGCATGTGGCTCGGACGCCGAAATGTGGCTGGCCCGTCTATCACCTAAATGGCCTTGACCGTGTAAACTTGGAAATTGAACAGCGTGTACGGCGCCTTCCCGAAAGATGTGGCGAACTGTCGTGGAGGTTCGAATGGGATGGGTGCCTGTGGCATGCATGAAGGGAGGGTTCGTGAGTGGAGCAACGCACAGGGGAACCAGAAGTCAGGAATGTGGATTAGGGGTTCATTGAACCAGCTGTGGCAGCATGAAACATTGATGCGGTAAGTCCGTTGTAGTTTCAATCAAACATTCTCATAAATGACGCCACGGTGTTGCAAACCCCTCTGTACGCGGCACGCACCACAAACAATGCAACCCTAAAAGTGTTCACCCAAATCTCACAGCCTCATGGCCCAGGCTTCTGCATCATCTGTCATGGCAGGGCGCCATCGTTTGCCGAGGAAGGGGTGCCCTTTGTGTGACGAATTCCCCTTCCTGTAATTCTTAATCCTGCCCCCGGACTTGGGAAAGCAGGTGGGCTGGTTTCTCAGTGAAAATTGTGGGTGATGGTGTGGCAACGTGGTGTGCAGGCACCACCAGCTGTCATGAAAGGCCACGGCAGGAAAAGGGTCTCAGTTATACCTGGGGATGAAGAATTGCCACCAGCAAAGAAGTCCAAGGTGGACAAACGCGCTGGGAAGAGGTCAGGCAAGGAACGCAGAGTGCCAAGAGGCATGGTGACGGATGCCATCAATGGCCCAGGCGACCTTGGGGATGCTGTGGGGAATGGTGTGGCTTATGAGGGCTTGGGCAAACAGGAGAAGCCCATGGCAAGGGCACAGGTGGCAGGGAGGAGAGAAAGAGCTGCAAAAGGGGCCACAGTAGGCGCAGAGGGGGCAAGAGGTGTGTTTGGCGTGGCCAGGAGAGGCGACACACTGTAGTTGTTTTGGTACTGTGTGATTAGGAGATTGTGGATGGCCAACATGAAGAGCTTGAATTGCTGTTGCTTGGTGATAAGCCAACCTGTACCACTTCCTTTGTGCTGCCATTGGATCACAAATCAAACAGCTGTGCAGATGTGCAGTCCACCACAACTTCATGTGACCCACTTGAGACATGTGCAAGGGTTTGTGCGAATGTTGATGTTGGCCACCATCACTCAAGCTGTGAAATGTATGGCCCATTTGTTGCCCTTTGTACCAGCAACAGCACACCCACACCTTCCCACAACTGCGCTCTGTTTCAGCACTTCATTGCAGGCGTTTGTGCACCTAGATGCGCAAATCCATGACTTGCATTTGCAGAACACAGTTCAGTGGTGGCTGCACAGCCAGCAAGTTCCAATTCGGGGGTCATTTGAGCAGCAAGCTATGTGGCAAGAAAACCCATTGGCATAGGGTGCTAGGAAGTTGGTACTGACAGTAATGATGGTCAAGTTCATGTGCATTACCTCTCTTGATGCCCATTCTCACAAGTGTAGGAATCAATATTATTAATGCAGGGTGATTAGCTTCATTTACTTCACTTTTGATGCCAGTCTTCAGCATCACATTCAAGCATTCAGACATAATGTGCCATCATGTCCACAGAATTTGTCAACCGCCATGTGGTTCAGCCGGAGGAGGCTGCTGATGTTGCAAGCGCTGTTGCACAGATGCTGGCTCTTGACAAGAAATACGTTGGCGATGAGTACTTCACCAGTGAAAAGAAGTGCAAACTAAAGGTGCGCAAATACAACCGATCCAGAATGCCCATGGCAACTTCATTGCATTGTTTAAGATGAGAGTCAGAATGAAATTTGCAAGTGCTTGCTCTCAGGATTAGTCTTGCAGTGTCCTTGGACCACTATGTTCTGACGTCAGAGTGCGATGTGCGGGTAGAGCAAGATTGGAAACAGATATTGGATTCCAATATTGAGTGGTGGCATCGCAGCATGTGGCTGTGAGTAGAACAGACATCACCATGTGGGAGAGTATGCCCCATTCCTGCTGTTAGCTGTTGAACCTTAACAACAAACTGAATGTTATTTTGAAGGTGTTGATTCGTAGACACTCTATCTTACCAGCATCTCCCAAATTGGGTTCCACTTCACGTTGGGAGTTGCCGCTGGACCAGAAAGTGGGTGCCATTTGGAACTTATCAAGGCATCCCTGTTGACTGTGTCAGGATTGCTCACTGCTCTTGAGTCATTGTTGCTCAGTGTGCATGGCCAACTGCAAGTGCCAAAGGGGACACAACCATGGGAGGGCCATGCAGTGTGAGCTCCTTGCACTCTCTATGGGGGACACCATCTGGCCAGCCTTGGGGAGCATTGCAAAGTGGGCCAAATCCCTTTATTTGTGTTTGCCTTTGAAAAGCAGATTGAGGTCCTTGTGCTTTTCATGCAATGTGGTTGTCATATGGATTACATTGAAATGCCATCTGTAGATGAGAGTGATGGGCCATGGGCGATTGCATGGGCAGTTCAGAACAGTTTTTTTTGAGAATAACTGGGCGCTATGCTTGATGTGACCCAAAGATTGAAATGTCCCATCTTACACAACAATGCTGCGGGTTTCACATATTATTCTCACAAATGGGACTCAGCTGTGTTGTCACACTCCAAACGCTTTAATAGTCCACACCTACTGCTGCACAAGTGCAGCTCGGTTTTGTCACAGGTGAAAGCACACAGACTGTTGTGGGGCTTTCGATATGCATCTAAAAGATGCTGACTCCCTTAATGTGTACCCTTTTGGCTTAGTTTGTCTCCAGGGGAGTGTTGCTTCATTAGTCAGTGGCTCAGTTAGAAATCTCCGTGTGTCTTATGGCTATGATCGTCTAAAGTCCAGCATGCAGTTTTTGTGATGTATGATGCATGCTGCATCACATGGTAGTATCTGATGCAGCTTTGCATGTTGAGGGCCTGCCAGCCTCACCTCACAACGACAGCAAAGCATTCGGATGTCTGTTGCCCTTGCAGGCTGTCAAGAAAGGGCAAACATCAAAGGGGGAAGGTGGTCCGCGCCGAAAGTCAGCTGCAGAAAGGTTTGCAGGATGGGAGCACAGGCCCTGTAAAGAGGCTGCCAAAGATTGGGGGGACTTGGGGCTGGCCGACTCACTGTCCTGCCACCTCAAGGCTTGCGGATTCAAAGCGCCCCAAAAACTGCAATCGGCTGCCATCCCTGCTGTCCTATCTGGCCGCGACGTGCTGATGGCGGCAGGCCCCGGCGCCGGGAAGACACTGGCGTATCTTGCTCCGATAGTGCATGATCTGCAGGTTAGCTGTACTTTTCAAACATTTTCCTGTCACATCTTTGTAAGGCTGCTGACATCAAGCAAAAATCGATCAAAGAGGATTGTTCGCTGCAGTGTATATTTCCTGTGCTACTTCTCAGCACCAGTACAAGGACAGCTTCAAATGCCAGTGATCTGCAAGAACTGATAAGCGAGTGCTATGGCAGTCCCTGATTGTGCAGAGTCTCCCTGTGTGCAGCTGTGACTGTGAGTTTAGGAGATGTATGAGCATGTGCTGGATGCCACTTGTGTAAAGCCTGGCTTCTTTGTTGCAGGTATCTGTCAAGCCTGCTTGTGCTTGCCAAAGGTGCTTACCTTTTCCTAATTTTCAACGTTATCCAAAAGTGGAGAAACTGAGACAGTGTTGTGTAGAGATGCTGTGGAGCACATAGTTCATTAGGGGATTGACTATTCGTCAGCATATGCTCTACTGTGCTATCAGGCGGCTGTCCAATCTGAGGGGATTGATCCTATACATTTGCATATGTGGGTTTCGATCATTTCCTTGATGTGCACACACAGGGTATGGGAATGTCATCATTGATATTGAGGCAATAAGGAACCCATTATCCAGGATTCGGTAGCATTGTCCAACAAACTTTCAATCATGCACTACATTGCTTTACCACACAGGCCCAGGAGCCCCGCATATCGCGAGGGGAGGGCACACACGCCGTTGTGCTGTGCCCCTCACGCGAGGCATGCAGCGCTGTTGGGGATGTTCTGGCAGTGCTCCTGAAGCGCTATCACTGGCTCACTGGGGGTCACTTCACTGGGACAGACAACCGCGGGCATGAGAAGGCGCGGTTGAGGAAGGGAACCACTGTTGTGGTTGCCACTGTGTCGAGACTTCTGGACCACATGGAGGTGGGACATGGCCACTGGCAAAAAATGCTCACCCAGTGTCGATTGGCGCTTGCTGGGCTTGGCAACTGCCAAGAGTAAACAACTGCTGAAAATCGTGAAGTGCCATTGTGACATGTGTTGCGTCAAGACAAAAGAAGGAAATCTCAGGTTGGTCTAGTTTCCACCCAGGAGAACATGTCTTGCCAGAATGTTGTAAACTTTGCGTGACGAATGTGCGAAACATGCACCACAAAGCGTTCATGGATGGCCAGCATCGTTTAACCGTCAGTTCCCTGCTTTGCCCAAGAAAACAGTGCCTGATTTGTTTCAATGATAACCCAAGACGTTGCTGCAATCCAACCAACTGCTGAGTTCCTGTCCATCAAAACTCACAAATGTTATTTGTCAATTGTTATATGCTATTTGTTATGTGTTTACTTGTTGTTGTTATATGTTATATTCTATTGTCCATGTTTATTGTTGTTTGTTTTATCTTTGTTTGTCGAATACAAACAAACCACAGTCACATCATCGACCTTGACGCCTTTCTCCCGCAGAACACCGCGGCGTTCCGCGTCAACGAGCTCCGCTGGCTGGTGATCGACCAGTGCGGCCGGCAGCTTGACAGCCGGCTGGACGCCAAGGTCCGGATCGCGCAGCGCCGCCTGCAGGAAGGCCTCGAGAGCGCCGGCAATCCGCGCCAGCGCATGGTCGTCGCCACCGGGTGGCTGCACCAGAAGCTGCCCAGATTCGTGTCCTGGGCGCTGCAGAGCCCGATCTGCGTGGGAGTCAGGCCCGAGGCGCGGGAGGGAGAAAGGTGCGTGTTCCTTGAGGCCGAGGGGGGAATGGGGATTGTGGTGGACGACGGTCCCGCGGCTGGAAAATCGGGGATGGCAGGCATGTCGAGGAAGGCGAGAAGGCAGATTGGGATGAGCGGCGCGTCGAAAGTCTGGGGGGAGAGGGGAGGCGGGCAGAGGGGAAGGGGGGCGGGAAAGGGGTGGGCGGGGAGGTAGGAGGTTGGGTTGCTGTGTTGCAAGCCGCATTATTCCATGCTTTTAGGCCAACGGGAGGGAGACATTGACACATCTAGCTTTCTGCTGGCTGCCCTGTCGCCTTGGCGGTCGTTTTTTTGGGGTTGATGGTGTGCTGGCTGCTGAAGCGAGGGAGGGAGTTTCAGGCTGTTTCGTTTGAGGCCTATCGTTAGGGAGTTTGGCAGGTTTCTTGGTACCCACGCAGCAGCTGTTCAGACATGAGTATTATTCAGCCAACGAAACCAGGTCAACAGGAAGAGTAGCGGGGAGGAATGTGAACAAGCAATGAAAGCGGGTTGGGTAAACGCGAAGCAGTGGATGGTTGCTGCTGGAATATTGTTGTCAAAGTTGTTGGTGTCAGGGTTTCGATCTGCCTGATGCGCAGGGCATGGATACACATATTGCTATGTTAAATTATTGTGCTATTATAATATATATTGTTCAGTTCTTTTAACGTTGCCAGGACAAAGATTGTCAGAGGAAATGAAAGCGCCGTTGAGCTTCACCATCACACCTGCAGGCGGCCATGGGCTGAGCGCATCTGTTCTGCGGGAAACTGGTGGCCATTGGAAAATGGCCAACTGTGGTGTGGTGTTCTGAGTGAGTGCAATCCATTGTTGCAAGGGCACGCACAGCTGCAAATCTTCAATCTAATTGCCACCAACGCCATTCTAATCAATTCCCGCCCATGCAACTGACCAGTGGCCTTTCAATATCATCCAAACTCTTTTGGAAGGCATTGAGGTTTGCCGACTGTCGGGTGGGCATGCGCTCTTCAATCTTTCAACGTCCTTGGAAATGCGGATGTTTCTTAGTTGAGTGCAAGTGAATTCCCTGCATATTGGCAAAGATATTACAATTAGAGGCCAGGAAGCTGTTTCAGCTCCGTGTTTGGCCCCAAGAAACGGGATTCAACGAATCGTACATTCCCAACCCCAGATTTCGCATCAAATGCCAACCAGCACCAACCCGAGTGTTCATCCAACCACAATCTAGCTATTCAATATCGATTTTATGCGGTTTGCATCACAACAGGCAGCTTCTCTCACACACCCGTGCGGGCGAGAGAAGAGTGCCTTGGCTTTCAAACGCAGCAGTGATTTTTCGACCTGATCAAAAATTCACTCGCACGTTCCTTCCGCACTGCGCAACATCCCCCCGACCGCCCCAGAATGTGACCAGCACACGTGCCACGTTGCCACCTTCCAATCCGGTCTCATTATGCGCTCCCTGATGCGCACGTGCCATCGAACTTCCCGGCCGTTTCTCACCCCATTCCCCCATGCAGCTGTCCCAAGCACCCACAGACTGCCCCCCCCCCAGTCCGACCCCAGCGTCCCCAACCCCCCCTTACACCAGCGTCATCATCCTGAGCTGCAGATGCAAGCCTTCACAAACCTTCCCCCCTGCGCCCCCCCAAGCCTGTTCGCATTCAAACGCCCCAGCTGCTCTTGAGTTGCACGGTGCAGAATTCGCAAGAGGCCGCCGCCAGGGGTCGACACGAGCGTCGCCGGGCGCACCGGCCCCGCGGCGCGCGGCAAGGATGGCCAAGAAGGACACGCAGCTGCCGGACCTGCCGGAGCCGTATGAGTACGTTGATACGCTGGGCTCGGGGTCCTACGGCGTGGTGGTGCTGGCGAAGGATGCCACCGTAAAGGACCCGGAGAAGGCCAAGGTGGCGATCAAGATCATACGCGCGCCGCAGAAGATGCAGGTGCAGGCCGTGGCCAGGGAGCTCATGATCCACGGCGCCATCAAGCACCCGCACATCGTTCCCGTGCACAGGTGAGCGCGGACTCTGCGCCGACACAGTCTGAATCATTGTCCGCAGCACAGGAGACCTGAAGAAAAGCCCAAAAACTCACGCCCAGGGGTGGGTTGGTTGCTGTGTGGCGCTTTTGCCGCTGTTGTTCACAGGGAAGCTCGCCTTGCACAGGTGCTTCAGCACAGAGGAGCACATTGGCGTGGTGATGGAGTACATTCGCGGCGGCCGGCTCTTCGACATGGTCAACAACGTCGGGTGAGTGAATTTTATTCGCGACGGGCGGGGGAAGGGGTCCTGAGGGCGAGCGCGGGGGGCACAGGTACAACTGGGTGGCCCCAGATGCGTGCCGCGGGGTAGCTGCGTGCGGAATCACACTTTATGGGGGAGGCAGGAAGCGCCGCTGGTCTTGGCGCGAGCCAAGAAGCCCGCCTGCGCCCGCCGCCTGCCGCGGATGCCGGGTGGCTCACCTCCCGTCGGGTGCGCCTGGCCTCTCGCTTGAGCGGGCAAAGGGCGAGCGGTGACGTGACAGGATTACTGGCATGCCGCTGGGGCGGCGGGACGCCGATTGGCTTCATGTCGTACGGTCGAGCCCCGCGGAGGCCGAAGGGGATTGAGCTTCTGGCGTGGTCGGCGCGGCGGTGCGGGCGCTGGGCTGCACCTGGGGGCGCGTTCGGGGGTGATGGACCCTTTGGGTGTCATCTGGGACGCCAGGCCGCGGGCCACCGCTTGGAGGACGGTTTGGTGTGGGCTCGAGTGAGCGCCTCCCCGGGACCTCCACCGGCCGACGGCAGGGGCGTGAACAACGGCTTGCTGCTCGGAATCGCGGGAGGATTCCTGGCTTGCGGCTGTGCCGTGTGCCCTTGCGGCCGTTGGGCTGGACCGGCCGATTTTGGGATGTGGCTAGGGCCGCTGGCCGCCGACGCCCTCGCCACGCACGACGATAGTTGCGCTCACCCGTCCCAGGACAATGGCCGCCTTTCCACATGGCACTGCTTGTCTGCTGTCTCTCTTCAGGATGTTTGGAGACAGCCCACAAACTTTCGTGCGGCCGCTTGCCCGATTTTCTTGATTCTGAGAAGGGGTGTTGACACGATCCTGAGGTTCGTGTTTCCGTGTCTTCGACTCACCTGGGAGCTGGGCGCATGTGGGGCATTCTGAAGAGCAATGGCTAGCTAGCAAGGAAGAGAAGCGCTGAGTTTGGAACTTATTGAACATGGGGCGAATTCGGAGCCAAAGACCAGCCAGGCCTGCACCCTATGGCTTGGAAATTTTATTGGTGGGGCAGCGCCAAGTTTCACCCTGTCAAATGGCCTCCCAATAGATTCAATGGGTTATCGAACATCACAACAAAACAAAAAGAGGGAAAGCACTTCAGGCCCAGTCCCTTTTGTTCGCTGTTCACAGCTTTTTGCCCCTGCCACAGGCCTTTTCCAGAGGCTAAGGCACGCTGGATATTTCGCCAGCTCATGGATGCCGTGCGCTACATCCACAAGGACATGAACTCCATGCACCGCGACATCAAGCTGGAGAACATCATCCTTGCCGACGCCAAGAAACAGTGGCCAACCATCTACCTCTGCGACTTTGGCTTCGCTCGCACCAGGGGGCCCCAGTTCGGCCCCACCATCTCCTGTGTGGGCTCGCCCAACTACTTCGCCCCAGAGATCCTGCTGCGCAACGCCAAGAACCAGCGCTATGATGGAAAGAAGGCTGACATCTATTCCTGCGGTGCCTGCCTCTTTGTCATGCTGTTTGGGTTCTACCCACAGGGGGTGGTGACCAAGGACAGGAAGGCAGGCAAGATCGACGTTGACAGCATTTACATCGAGATCCCAAAGGTGCAGAGGCAGAGGCTGCATCCCGGGCACAAGGAGGTGCCCATAGGGCCAGAGTGCCTCAACTTCCTCAGCCAGCTGCTTGAGCCGGACCCAGAGAAGAGGCTGACCCTGGAGGGAATCTGGAAGGACAGATGGTTTAGGGACAACACCCACAGGAGGTGAGTTGATGTCATGCTGGTTGCATCGGCCCTTTGTGTGGCTTTGCTGTAACGGCTCTAACAAGACAAGAACTGGCCACATGGTGGGCCCTACTATCAAGGGAGAAATGCACAAAAGTCTGTGGCAAACTGTAGAGGTGGCTTACAGGCAAGGGGTCTCAGTGCAAGAGAAGAAGCGCTCACAAAGAACTCGCTGTGCTGGCAAGAAAGCTTCCTGTACTTTGCCACAGAGATTTTTTTTTTTTTTTGCGTATCTATTGATGCATGTTCAGCTGACGCATCATGCCATGCAGCTGCAGCTGTGCATTTGTCCACTCATTGCCCGGCCATGATCCTCCTCCTGTCTTGTTGGCTGCACTCCTGCGCTTGCTTTGCTATCTGTGTGCCAAACCCCTCTTCAGACGTGCTGCTGTTTAGGGTGGCACTGTGACATGCTGACAGGCTGCCCAGGTGGTTGGCTGGGCTTATCAACTGCCTGTGGGGGGTGTGGATGCAGGCGGAGGAAAGTGGCTGCTGTGCTTGGGCGCTGAAGCGTGGGCAGCATCTGGATAGAATTCCTGATGAAACGAAGCCAGTCTGAGGACGCCTGCAAGCAATGGTCCACAGACCCTGTTAGCTGTTGTATTGCCTCTGTCCCAGATTGAGAATGGACCATAAGCGGCTACACAGTTCCTGCCTTTGTAGGCAGAGCCAACGTTAGGATAGCCAAAGAGGCAGCCAGGCCGTTCGGCATCGAGCAGTGCATGGTGCGCGGCAGGATTTTTCACCCTGTTGTCCGCATTCAGTAGTTGACAGGTGGCCATAAGGCCACATGTGGGCAGCTGTGATAATAGATACGTTCCCACGAGTAAGCAGCTGGCATGGAACATATGAGGGGGAAGATATGGAGCACGTGTGCAGTCTGGAAGAGGAGCCAATAATGGTGTGAGCCTGCCCTGCTGAGGCAAGCATGGCGGTGTTTCTCATGTAGCTCCTTATTCAGACTGAGGTGAATGTTCGGCTGATGCATGTTGTATTTGAGGCGGAGGCTGCAGTCTTGATGATATGAGGGTGTGGTGCCTGTTTGAGCCCAGCCTAATGGGTAGCTCTGGGAAAATTTTGTACACTTTCGTCCTTTGTTCAGCTTTCCTTGGGGCCTTCCTGCTGCCATATGCACTGCTGTCTGCTCGCAGTGGACCACCAAAAATACATGGTTCCAAGTGGTCTGAGTGCCAGTGTATGCATAGTGGTCCATCTGTCCTGGGTTGCCTGCAGAAAGCTATGTTCTTGGCAGCGTCAGTGCCAGCATTCCAAGCCGGAGTTTCTGCATAGAGTTGTTGGCTGAGATGAGAGGACGATTGGATGCATGTGGGAACCAGCGACCATGGTCGCTGTTTGTACCTCAAGGACCATTGTTCAACGAGATTTGTATCTAACACATGAGGCCAATGGGGCCCGGGATTGGCCTCCAGTCTCAAAGAACCTTCTCGTCAAGAATCACCTTCCCTTGCTGTGTTGGCTAGGGCCATCCAGAACTGGGTACATTATGAACCTGGGTGATTCACCTCTGCTGATGTCTTGTGGAAGGCAGTGGTACAAGAGCAAGGGGAAGCAGCTATTCATGGAATCCCCTTCCCAGTGAAGTGATTAACATCCTTTTAGACTTGACATGGTGATTAGCACATCCTGGATTTCGGTTAAGCAAGCTCACAATAAGCGCCGATGTACAAGATAGTTACAAGGGTGCTGGGATATACCATGCTCCAGGACAAAGCATTTGCACCGGGCATTAATGGGGTGACAGATGGGCCTCGAAAGAAATCTGATGGCGTCTGTTCAATGAAGCCACATAGTGAGCACCGTTTCACTCAGTGACTCACTTATGTAATTGGCTCACGACCAGTGTCAACCGTATGCGCGATACACGCTGCATGGGATGGCCCGAGTAGGCCACCATTGCTGATGAAAAAGAAAAGAAGCAAAGAGTGAGAACACTTCTGAAAACATTAGGGTTGCAATGCCCAGGGAATAATTTCACTGGGGAAGGTGAGGGAGGCAGGAGCTGAGAGGAGGAAGTCGCTTTGTGCACTCGAAAGAATCGTGTCACTGATCAGCTCCCCTGACTGGTCAAGTCAAAGGCTATTCTGGGAGGTTTTGCACCATAAGGGTGTAGGCTTGGGGGCAAATCGGGCGCACTGGACTGTCCAATGACGCTTTGATCTGTCAGGATTATTCAGGCCATCCGACCTGACGAGGGATGACACATGGTCTGTTGGTTTGAAAAAAAATGAGTTTTCATATGATTGAAGCACTACAATTCAGACAAAACGTGACCTGAAATGCACTTGCAGCGTAGGGTGCAGTTACCATTGGCTCGTTCACGCAACAATGGGTATGCACATTCAGTGTATCCTTGTGACGTGCGTGGTTACGTCCTGATACTCCCACGAGGATATACATGCACGCATGAAAGCCAGAGTGTTGTAAGATGTTGTGACGTGGACACTTGGGTTTAGGCGTCATTTGCATTTTCTGGATTGTGAATCATTAATCTCTATTACCCTATTGTAAGTGTTATTTAGCTCTTCCCAATGTGATTAGACTTTTGAAACACCCCAATCGGTAAAGAATTGAGGGAGTTGCAGCCCTGCGAAGTTCCAGTACTTAAGGGCCTGAGGCTAGGGTAGTAGTTAAGGTGTCAATGGAAAAGACCAGTGAAATATGGGTGCCTGGACGTGCACACAATGCGTTGTCTTGTTTTCATGTGACAACAATGGACCCGTGATCGGGCATCACACATGCAGATATGTGGGCACATATGCATGGAATTGTGTAACTCGATTGTGGCTTACTCTCTAGCCTCCCGCGAGCCAGCGAATCACCGCCTCACTGCACCGCCACCTCTCGCTTACAACAGGCCCCGAGGATCGATTCTCGTCGAGCATTGGGCCCACCGCGTGACTAAAGAATCGACTACCCTGGATACACCCGCTGTCCAAGGTGGAGAGGCTGGCCAAACTCCAACTGCAGTGCTGCAAGGCAGGGCGACTACAACGCCTCTGAAAACCAGTGGCCGCCAACGGGGCCGCAACAGGTGCCCTGACATACATGTTGTAACTTTCTCATTGGTGAGGGAGTTATGTCAGCAGTCCGAGGGGAGCTGGCACCTAATCGACTTGTACAACATATGGAAAATGTTTTCCCATCATTCGTCAAATTGGCCATGCCCTAAGAATAATGGGCATGCATTGAAACTATTCAATTTTATGCATTTGCGCAGCCATAATAATGCACCATAGGTCCCCATGTTATCCACTTCTGTGTAGTACACTATGTCGTCCGTATGGGTGGGACGAAGAATAGAGTACACTAGGGCACACATTGAGCGAGGGCAGTGGGAAGTGCCGTGAAGTATGGTGTCTTTTCATGCAATACTTTATGGCCAGCGCTTGACCAATGGATGTGATGTCCATGAGCTGCATGTTGGTGGCAAGGGGACGAGTTTGGAGGAATTCTGTGATGGCGAATGACGTTGGCTAGAATGGTAGGTAAGCAGAAATATTGTTTTGAAAAGGGGAGAAAAGAATTTACTATCTAGAGGATGATACGTCGAACCTTACATGATTTGATGGGGTTGGTCCTTTGGGACTAAAAAGCACCAGTCTATGTCCTAGATCGCACTGCAAATGGTTGTGAATTGTGTAAGGAGATTTGGAAACATTTAGAAATTTTGTGCGCACATGATTGGAAAGTATTGATCATTTGATCATTTGCCGGGCTGGACGTTGAGTAAACAGGTAGAAATTATGAAGCCAAGACGTCATTTGGAGATCACTGATACGCTGAGAAATGGTATACTTTTCGTTGGTATTATTCCTGGTCACGAAGTACTGGAGTTCAATAAAGTATGGGGAGGGTTCAGCCATTGAGCTGACGGGAGTCTTGTACGCTAGTGTCATGTTCAGTGCATGCAATCTGAGTATGCGTTGAGTCATCCGTGTGTGGCTGCGCCGTATGTGAGATCGGAATGTTGCTGCCCCTTTTGAAGGGGCCATATGTGACCTCTTGGATGTCCAAGGAACATCTCCGTTCTATAAAAGTGCCGTGCACGGCTGTGGGGTCGCTATTCTACCATTCGTTCGTGTTTGGGGTGTGGCGGTGCTGTGCTGGTTGCCGTTGGGTGCCATTTGAGGCGATTGGTCGAGTCGTGAGGAAACTTGTTGAGCGGCAGACGTTCTGAGTGGACGCCAGCAGTTGTCCTTGTATCACTGTCTTGTGAGGGCCCCAGGGCCCAGCTTTCCGGTCTAAATCGTGCCCCCCTGACCCTGGCATGGCACATCGCGGCATGACGCACGCATCCCCCTGCGCCTAGGGGTTTTCTTGCCGCTCGCTCTGGTAGAAGCCAAAGCAGCGGCTGTGCAGCTGGCCGAACAGGCCGTGCGTTTCGCTGAAAAGCGCATCGTCGCCAAAACGCGTCCAAAAAAAACGGTGTGCGACCTGTGATAAAGTCGACGCACTCCACATAGGACTCTTTGCAGTAGAGGCTTATGGTGCGGTGAATCACGGCGGTGTAGCACGCTAGAACGCACCAAGAGGAGCATATAGCTGTGCAAAGTGGTGTGCTGCCCAGAGATCCCGCCGTAATGGCTCTGGGCGGACATACAAAAATATCTAAAGGCATGCGCGCTGAGCGATTGTGGTGATACACGATCCATCTCTAAGCAGGGCAATGTGCTGGTTTCTTAAGCACCGAATCGCTACCTACGGTTGGCGAAGACGTGTTCCTGCTCCATCATCGTACAATGAGCGGTTCACGCGAACACGTCGATATAAACAGTTGCAGACTTGCAAATCGATTGATTTGTTTGAGATATTGTGTAATTGTATTCATGAATCCACGTTGATCTCAATGCCGTCATTATTGCACTGGGTGGTCTCGGTTCTAGTAAAAGATGGCGTTCAGCACTTGAATCTATCGTTGATTGTCTACGGATCAATGTTGGCAAGCATATGAGCGGCAAATTGCAGGTTATGTTCAATGTGAAATATTGAAAACGCACTGAAAGTTTACACCACATGGCGGCTCGCAACCATGCAAAATACAGCTTCCAGATGTCCGAACAGTTTGTGCTGCGTGGAGCTGCGCAGCGCAGCCCAGCGATCTCAGGGCCCAGCGGAACAATCTCTGGGGCCGATGCATCCGCCTTAACAATGGCATTTTCATGTAGCACGTTTGCACACCAGGGCCAGGTTGGGCTTCTAGCCAGAACGTTGTCCCAGTCCGAGAATCCGTCAGCGGACATTTCTCGCGTGAAATTCGTAAATACAACAAAAATACACAACATGGAGAGATTACAAAACAGAAGCGGCGACCAAAACAGCGCTCGGGCTGATCTGCGGCTCCATTATCCGCATTCAAGCCCCATCACAAACGCGGTGGGCAATCCGAGGGCCGGAAGGTGTGCAGACGCGGTCAGGCGTCTCCACCGCGGCAGGCGTGCCAACCCTCCGACCACCGCGCAGCCCCCCGCGCCGAGCCGCGCAGCCATGGAGCCGTCCGGCATGGACGAAGACAGGTGGGCAGGCGGCCCGGCCATCCCCTGCGCCTGCCCGCGGCTCTTGCGACTGTGGCCCACGCGTCCGCTCGCAGGCCTGCGCATCCCGGCATTCGCCGTTCGCGACTCACCGGCGCCCGCCCCTCCCTGCCAGGGCGAGGTTCTTCGAGGAGGCCATCGTGCAGGCGAAGCGCGAGTACGATGCCAACAACAACGACGCGCAGGTGGGCGCCATCTCTCCCCACCCCCCCTTCTCCTGCGCTGCGCCTGTTGCGCAAATGCTCGACCGCTCTGCAACTGTCCGCCGTCCGGAGCTCATTCATCTGCGCTCAGAAACTCACGGATCAGCCCTTGCAGCCTAAAAAGGTGCAAAATTCCTCGGCTGGGATCGGAGGGATCCCTGGTGGGCTTGTCAATTCTGCGGCGCGCAAGGATGCCTGACGCCGCCTGACGAATAAAAGGGGGAAAGGGAACGCTGCGGGCGTTCCGGGCCCCCCGCCAGATCGAGGACACTTATTCGCTTCGATTTGCCGACCCACGTGGCTGTGCCGCAGGCCCTGACGCGGTGGGGAGGCGCGCTGCTCGAGCTGGCGCACTTCCAGAGGGGAGACGAGGGCTTCCACGTGATCGACGAGGTGACGAGCGAGCGGACCGCGGCCGTGGACGCTGCGGATCCTTTCCGGACCGCCTGGTAGTGCGCTCTGGAAACGCCACAGCTGGGCCTTGATCTTACGCCACAGACCGGATGATTGCAGCAGTGCATTAACGAGTGCCCTGTGCATCGGGCCGCCGGCTTGCTCATGGCCATTTGACCCTGGCCCGGATTCGATGGCTCGCTAGTGAGCGGCACTGCGGGGAGGGTAGGCGCACTGCGAGGTTCGACTGGGCGTCATTTGTCACGCACCCATCTAGGAGCCTGTCCCAAAAAATGCACCAACGCCAAGAGAACGCAATGACGCGAAGACCTGGTTAGTGGTGGCACAAGGTCCACATCTGTTTTCTCAGGAAGGGGGCGGCATGGGGGCTCTCGAACGTCGTGCATTGCTCTGGTCTCAAGAACATCAAATCATGGATCCAGTGATGCTCAAGGTCTTGTTTAGGAGAGCTGACTGGATTTCAGAGCACAGCAAACTGCCTGTGGCCAAACTGGACGCTGTGGATGCCTGGTGGTTGTAGAGTCTTCCCCACTGTGGGAGTCACCTCCACAGGTTAAACAACATCTTTCTGTTGACCAGAGTGGTGCAAACTGGTAGGCCATCCAGAAGCTAGAGCAGGCCTTGAAGATCGAGCCCCGGAAACACAATGCCTTGTGGTGTCTCGGCAACGCTTTCACTTCGAAGGTAAGCCATCATCACCCCCATCTCCAAGCATATCTATCTTGAGGGTCTCTTCACATCTTGAAATCCTTCACATGATAGTCCAAGGTACTAAGGTGCAGTTTTTGTGCTACATATTTTGTGAATGCACTTGGCGCTTGGCATGCTGCATCACTGGTTTGCTGTGTATGGTTTGTCCATTTTGCACAATTTGCTGAACATTGGACTTTCCCTGCCCTTGTGCTGTTTGCAGGGCTTCCTGATTTCTGGTGACTCACAGAAAGCCCAGGAATTTTTTGACAAGGCCTTGGATTGCTTCAAGAAGGCTGAGTCAGAGGTACATCATGTGCTGCCTCTGCACATTCCCTCATTGTTCTCCCCTTGAGGGATGAAGGTGCACACAGTGCTATAACTACCATGTATAATACTACATTTTTGACGATGTCCTGTGTGCTACATGGCAATGGTCGACATTGTTTCCCATCTGGATTGCCATGGACTTGTTGAGTGCTGCACTTCTCATCTGTTGCACCGCCGATAGTAGAGAAGTTGGCCTTTGCAGCCTTACATGACAGTGCAGAGGCGATGTAAGGCTCCAAAAGACCAGGTCCACAGGCATTTTGATTCAAGTATAGAGTGGTGAAGATTTAAAGTATGGCATGGTGATGCTGTGGGCATTGTGCAATTTTCACGGTTATCCAGAAACTTTCTGGCACCAGTTGCACACGCTGTGGCAAAGTGACTCGTACATTGTCTTTGTGCAGCAGCTTGTTGAACTGCCAGTTTCCAACACTGTATGTGCCACAAGTGTACTCTGACACTGGCCATAGCTCAGAGGCACACAGCAAACGACGTGCAGCACTGAACGAACAGGAGTTTATGTGGCCGAACTGAACTGCAGCAATTGCAATCAAAGCAGTTTTTGGAACTTGTATAAACCCAACACATTTGAATGCTTGCAGATGCAGGATTGCACGCTGTGTGGTTCTGATGGTCACTGAGTATATCATTCTGTATGGAGCTCTGTATGGATCTGAGAAGCAGGCAACAGACAGAATGTGTGACCATTTCCCTCTGTTTCAGGAGCCCAATAATGACATATACAGGAGGGCTGCCGAGGTTGCTGAAAAGGTAAAGATTCAACAATGTTCACTATGCCGCAGTGTCCCCTTGCAGAAGTCTTATGTGCTTTATTGCTGTTCTGTTACCATCAGTTGCATTGTTACTCAATAATCGTCTGAGTCCCTTCCATTGGCAACAAGGTGTTGCTGTCTGGTTGCCGATCGCCATCAGCAGGGGCCATTTCAAGGCTGGAAGTTTTGACATACTTGCTTTCATGGTCGTCCTCCTTGCACACTAAGCTCTTATTTGACGTTTGGCTGGGCCAGCGTAGTGTCACCATTATTTGTTGAGCATTGAGCATTTCATGTTCAGCTGGTGGAAGGAACGCTGCTGCACAATGATGATCTGCACTTTGGTTTGTTGATGCTGTTGTTGTTCGTCATGTTGTAGGCACCAGAGATTTATGAGGAGCTCCAACGACAGCTGGCTGCAGACAGAGCGGTGGGTTTATTGCGCTCTGGGCAGCTAGCAGTTTTGATTTAATGTTGCCAATATTTGGAAGTCTTGCATTTAGGCGAACATCAGAAGGATGGTAGTTAGGATGCAACAAAATTGGCTGCGATGATTGGCAATACCTACAACGGCATCTACTCAAAGGGTATTGCACACCGCAAACCTGGTGACAAGACACACATCGTTTGAGCTTAGTAGCACACATTGCACAGACAATTCCATGTGTCCGTGGATTGTTGTGTTGTTGTCGATTTGGGTTTCATATTCGGGAGCCAGAACGTGTTGTGGTCAACGGTGGTGGGTCAAGCTCCTTCATGCCAAGGTACAGCACTTATGCTGTGTTCATATTACATAACTATTGCCTACCCCACATTGGGCCTCTCCAGACCTCACAACTGTCACTACACTGTCCAATGCCAAAACGCGTTTATTGCATTGTTATGTTGTTCCTTCATGCTGTTGTTGATGATCCTCAGCTGAACTTCCAACGTGTTACAACCCATGGGTTGGCAAGACAGGGTTGTGCATACGCTTGAAAGCAATTTTGTGAATGGTTGCTGTTCAACATGGAAGGGCGCAGCTGCCACCTCACTGCGATCAGAGAATGCCCCAGCTTCAAGACACGGAGGCCAAATCACTGGAATGCATCTTGAATCGTTGACTTTGCCATATTCGGCATCCCTGACAAACGTTCATTGCCTTTGACGTGCACTGCGAAAACTTTACCTGTAAAGCTTAAAAGCCCTGCGAAGAAATGGTGTGAAGGAAATTTGTGCTTGTGCTCCAATAAGACCCTCATGCACTCGCTGCTTCTGAACAGAAAGCTATATGGGGCAATAAGGGGAAATTCACATTCAAGGCTCTGGTTGCGATCCTCTTGGATCTTGGATACTCGGGTGACTTTCATGAAGCAGGTGCTCCCCCGCACCCCACCACACACACACACGCCACGCTTGGCCCGGGGGGGTGGGTGGGTGGGAGAAGAGGGTGGCAAGAGGACTGCTGCGAGACTGGTGACCACTTCATGTCCACGACGTGGAGTGTGGTGTTCAGTGGCAGTTCACGTTTGCCCTTTTTCATGGAAACAGTGCAACTAAAGCTGCCTGTGGACAGCAGGCCAAAGAAGGGAAGATGCTCTTATTCAGCACAGTCAATTGCTGATTGTCGGTGTTGAACAGTTCCGGATTCGGTTGTTGTCACTTTCAAATGGGCATCATCTCTTATGGAAAGCATGTCATTATCGCCCTGATCCACATCGACAGTTGCGTTGACTTTTACCTCAGGGCGAGGAAATCGGGCCAGCCGTGGGCAAATACGCAGAAGCAGGCTCACGCAAGCCAAGGGGGGCCCCGACAGATGACGCCGCGTCCGATTTCTGGTGGGACGCAGCAGGATGGGGTCTGCTCTTCACGATTGGCGTGACTTGGCTGCTGTACCTCCAGAAGGGCGCTCCGCAGAAGTAGGGATTGCCTTGGCTCCTGGGCAATGCAGTGCTGCGATGGTCGGCAGGGTATGTGCAAAGCCTTGTCGCTCCTCGGCACCCGTCACGGGTCGAGAGAAGGAGCGCTGGGCGGTGCAGCAAGGATGGGGCGACCGAGCTGGGATATGCACGTGCTCTGGCAGGATGAGTGAGGGTGATATGGGAACTGAGAGGAGAATTGGTGCGTGGGTCGGCGGGACCTGGGAAAGTGGAGCGGGGTTGCGACAGGAACCAGGCGGCGCGAACGGCTTTGGCAATGTTATTTAATCTGAGCTGATGCGCTGGGCAGGGCCACTGCGGCACTGCCAGACCTGGAGGGAGAAAGCAGCCCTGGGTTGTCTTCCTTGGAAGGCTGGGTGTGGTGCAACCTGGCTGTTCATGGTCCCTGATGATGTGTTCATGCCCACGATCGGAGGGGACCTTTGCTGCTTAGGTCTGATCTTCCTGCTAAGACCACTAGTGACCATCGCGCATCATCAATCAAGGGAAGGCCCGGGGACGCGGAGTGCATGTAGCGCAGGATTATGGATGTGCTGAACGGGTTGTAGGCTGGAACTCCGGGTCCAAACTTCTGGAACTGACGCTGTGCGAGTTACGAGTGCAGGCCATCAACAGCCGTTGGTGCCGTTTGGGACCTGGTGCAAGCCGTTGTGGGAAAGCACAAAGGAGAGGGAGTGTGTCGAGTGACTATGCATTTGCAGAGACGACACGAGCAGGGACGGTGCACGGCAGATGCTAGAACGTTTCGCACCACTGCCATCACGGTTCTGAAATTGTCGGCCACCTCCTGAAGGTTGAACTCACAGAACCGATCTCTTTGTTACAACGAGGAAAGTATGTTTACAACAGCCTGGTCACCTGCCTTACAGCTTCAGTCTATTTGACACGTCGGAATCGTGTCAAACACGTTCGAAGTCGGTCGCCAACGCTCATTTACACGGCACGCTCTTGAGTAACGGCCAACAGGATGTGCAACGCCCCTGTGCTGCCTCTAACTGCGGATGGTGCATGTGACCGGCGTCGCATGTTAGCGGCCATCCAGACCCACGGCTCGCCGCCACCCCAAGCTGAACCTCTTCCGAAGCAGGAGTCGATCGTCAAGAGCCCATCTCCATGTCAGCCAGCCAATTTCCTGCTCCACCAAATGATTCTATGTCAGACGTTTGTTTTGTTGTACATTAGATTTCAATCGACTGATCGGGGACACTGCTTTGCTGGGGCAAAACAGGAAGCTGACGGCTACCCCCTTGCTTCCTGGACTACAAATGCGTGGAGATGATGATTCCATGTCAGCCGCACGGGATGGCAGCAGTCACGGAAGGCGACTCCCTGGCAGCCTTGGTTCGTCTCTGAAAAGAAAGGGAACATGTCCTGGAACGACCGAACTCTGCCGACCAAGGCGGCGTTCACTATGAGGCGCTAATTCCGGGTCGCTTTGTGTGAAATCCAGTTGCCTTAAGAAAGTGCTTGTGGTTTCATTGCATAGATAGCACCGAAAAACAGATAAAGTATAGCTCGCACTTCACCTCTGCTGTGACAAGGGCACCAAATAACTGGCCACCAGCCCCATCACTGCAAATCTGCAACGAAGAGCACACATACACGCATGGTTATTTGCCATGATCTGCCAGGGGCCTTGCAGTGCTGAACTTATCTTTTGGGGACTGAGCATTGACTTGGATACAAACCCCATTGGGGCCTTACGTCGCCTTGCATTTTCTTGTTAGCGACAATAAGCCCACATCTTCAGGGCGAAGACGACATCTGAACTCTGAAATGTGATGCAACCATTTGCAACCAAACTATAGCACACAACACAGTCAGCCTGAGGCCCACACGTCAAGAGATTCGCATTTCGCTCTCAGGCATATTTACAATGCAACTGCTGTCGATGAGAAAACACGGAAGGTCCAACAATGCAAACCATCTACCAGCACAGCACTTGACACTCCGTTTAGAGCTGTATGAAAAACCAGCAGTGGCAGCGTCAGCAAGAGAGTGCCCTTCAGCTGGAGGAGAGGGTCCTCGTGTTGGAGCGTTCTATGCTTGCTGGAAAATACACTGCAACCGTGTTGGCTTCGAATAGAGTGAATCGCCATCCACGCAATGGACTATCAGCTCGTTCATCGGGTTCGTGCCATTTCTTTCGTGTAGCACAAGCTTCTCAAGAAGTTGTGCGGGGATCCAGGACTGCCCACAAAGTCTGCAACACCGCAGGTTCGGATGACCCCGTTGAAAGGCACAACATGGTCAACAATAGCAAGAGACAAGCCCCAGCTCAACAAACAGCCGTGAACCAGGGGGTGTGGTGGACGTCAGAGTCGCAGCCCAATCTTTAAGCAAGCCTGCATGGAGTGCCAATGGCAATCTGAGGAAATCAAGACAAGTGCGCAAAGAACAAGGCTGTTGCTTACGTCACGGAGCTGAAAACGTGCTTGAAATCCATGAGCTCGATCTTCATGTTCGCGAGTGAAGAAATGCAGCAGAACAGAGAACACCAAGCAGATACCTTCATCTGCACACACAGCAGCATATCGAATCAAATTGGCAACTTTCTTGGATCGCGCATCTTTGCTTGGACCACAAAAATCAATGTGCTAGACATGCTCCGAAGTTTTGTTGTTCTGTAGTTTCGTTGCTGAGTCAATATGCGCGGCGCGCACATGTAGTTCCTACGTTGCTCCATGCAGGAAAGGCCAAGGTGACTCCAGTTCAGTTCAGTTGCGCTCAGCTGCGGCAATGGGACAATGCAGCAGGGGAATGAGAACACGTTGGAGCTGTTCGTCATCAATTCTTTTCTGGCATCAGTAGCGAGAGCAAAATTCTCACCAATGCGTAAGGTAGTGTGATTGCAGCGGGGAGTATGCAGCTACATGAAATATGGGCTGCACTAGAAGACGAACGAACGCTCCATCATTTAGAGCTCTCAGCACCCATGCTGCTCCGTGTCAGGCGATGTAGATTACACCTGGGGATGGTTCGATTGTTCCTTGGCACAGCACCTAATGGCAGATGCTGAAAGTGTGTAGGATTGCAGAAACATTTGCCCAGCCAGTAATGTACTTTCCCATCGCTTTAGCTTGTATTACGCCTGTGTTATTGCTTCGTACTCCACTCGGTGAGCATTGGGCAAACTGTGCATCAGAAATGACAACATGTATCAAAACTGACGATTCGCTGTCTGTGCATCTGTCAGGCAACGTTGGGGTGGAGCCCATGCTATGTTTCATAACAATAACGCTGGTATGGCATCATGCTTGATGTCAAAGTGAACACGAGTCGGTACACTACAACAATGCAACCATCTGCCACTGAAAAAGGGTGGTGAGCCAATGTACAGGGAATTCTGTGCTGCCACGGCTGCCCAACAAATTCAGCCATCATAGTCGAGTCCCCATCACCCCCCCATCCCCACTGCACCTTCATGAGCAGTGCCAGGATCCCAAACACCAGGGCCATGAGCAGCATCGGGTCTGGGGGCTGATCGTCAGGGCTTGTGACGGGCCTGTTGTATTTCTTTGGAGGTCTCCGAGGATCGCCCCCTGTCGTCTGGACAGCAAGGGCAGCCACAAACAGTCATAGCAAGGACATTGGCACAGCCCAGGAACACATGCACACCGGATATCAACACAAGCCCTCTCTTGGGCCCGCACTGTTAAAAGCAGACTAAATTTGCAGCTTCTACGCATGTGGCGTGTCAACAGACTCCTCTGAAGCCTTGAAGTCATCTACTTCAGTGCTTTTGCATCCCCAAGCACACGATCAATCCCTTCTGTGGCATTTTGGCACCTTGAAGACCCCATCTCAAGATAGGAAACAGCCAGCAACTGTACCATTGCAACAGAGGTGGTGCCCATACTTGTGCATGTCATGCAGCAATTCAAAACCAACAAACTCGGAATATTCTGAACGACTCTGGCATGACGTATCAGGGTTTTGACAGCTTGCAGCACCAGTGATTTGCCTCTTTGGCCCATTCCAGTGCAACAGAGAGCTCAGCCATTATGTCAAACTTGGAGCATGCTACACAAATCCACCCAAGCTTGCACAGTGGGGTAATGCAACACCTGACACAATCTTGTCTCTCCCATTTATCATCACAAATGATAGGCCATTATGATTCTATGTGATATGATATGTGATTATGTGATCATGATACGTGATATGTGATATTCTATGTGATATGTGATATATATGATACTATAGACATGTAGAGTCTTGTGATGCCAGTTGTTGCAATTGCTCAATCCCACCTTTGCGAAGGAATCATTGCGCGCCATGCTTCAGACAAGCTGTTCTATGCTTTTCGTCCACCCTGCTGAGAAGCACCTGGCAACCACAACACAGAAGATGGATCAAGGTGTCGATCTTCCAGGCTGTTCTCCACATTCCTAACTTTTCGATTTCTCAGTATAACATCTCCAACATCCTCCATCTTCTGTATTTCTCAGCTTGCTGTTTCTCACGTCTTGGCTTCACTGAATTTCCATTTGACAAATGTTGCTTGTTCCTATTGTGCGCAATGCTCATTACTCTCTGTTCTTTTGCTCCACATTGAGGTGTTTGCACGGCCATGTAGTTTGGAGGAGCAAGTTTCATATATGTTGTAGCAGCATGATATCCATATCATGGCCCTTTTCTTTTCCCTACAATACTTGTTCCCTCTCAGTTGTCATCACCCAGTTCTAATAGGCTCTTTCTCCTTGCAACTCAAACTGTTTTCTGAAGTTCTCAGTGATCAGTGTGCTATTCCTTTATTAAGGGCATAGGGCCACAAGTCCAGTGTGCAGCACAAGCCAATGGCAAAATGTGCTGAATCAACCAAAAATGACAAATGGCATGAGAAGCACCTCAGACAATGAGTGCCAATGCAGTTGTTTGGCCTGGATGGTCCCAATGAGGTGTCATCCATTCGCCTCAACAGTGTTGAAGACAGAAATCCGTACTTCCAAAACATGTAGCAGCCATCTTACTGGCAATTGATTGGATTGTGGGCTGCACAGTTCCTCACTTCAGGTAGAACTCACGACAAGGTGTTGCCTGCACACCTGGGTGCTAAAGAGGCGTGCCAATGCCCGTATTTGTCAGCACCTGTATGGGGGGTCCACCACTCAATCCAATTGCTCAGAGGATAGAATAGGCAGTGCCATTGTTCTGACCATGCTCGTTGACACATGGAAAAATCGCACTACGGGGCCTAGATGCGATCAATGCTGCCATGCGCATCTGCAGTTGTTGTCACAAGCTGCCCACAGCAAACTCAACAGGAGTTGATGTGCATCTGATCTGGGATGGGACAGTGCTATTTCGGATTGGAGACTGCCCAGATCAAGGCACAATCGGCAGGACTCCACAACTGGAACAGTGAGCCAGGAACGTCCAAGGCCATCGGCCCAACTGGATTAGCAAAATAGAGCATCTCGTCATGAACTGTCGGAGATGTTGACAGACGGAATTTTGATCTCTTCCCATGCTGAACGACTGCTTCAATCAACGCGTACCATCCCTTCCAATTTTCTGGCGTACAATGTTGGGACCGTTCACGTGGTGAGACCGCAGGCAAAGGGACTGCAGGAGATGGACCAACACAGGATGCAGGCAAAAAGCAGCTTAGTGCTCAATCACCCGGAAAGCTATTAACAACAACAGGAACCGCATCGAACCCACTCTTTCCAAGGTCGCAAACGCACATCGCGCGGATCGAGTGCTGCTCAATCTCACGTTCCACGGAAGCACGCTTTCAGCTCCGGACACCCACACCCTCCGCCTCTCCCAAGACGATGGCCTCGCGCAACTCGCGGGGCAGCGCCAGCGGCCAACGCAAGCCAATCACGCCCAAGAACAAAGCAGAAAGCGCCATCCGCGCCCCACGGCACTGCGCAGCGTCCGACGCACGGCTCTGAAAAGGAGCGGGCCGGCGCATCCCGCCGACCGCCCCGCGTCCAAAACGGCCGGCTCCCGTCCAGTCTGTGCAAGTCCCCCACCTGGCGGCCTCGACCGATCGCTCCGGCGCAGCGGCCGAGGCTGCGCACAAGGCGCCGGGGATCCTCCTCCCCGTCGCGCGCCTGGCTCCCCAGCTCAGCGCGCAAGTGACTCCGTGAAGAGAGCCCCCTACCCGCCGTACTCTCCCGGCTCGCACAGAGCAAGTGCCCCACGCCAACTCCCTACTGGCCACCTTCTTCCCCAAAGTACCCCAATTGGCCTTTTTCCCCGAGTATACGAATAAATAACTAACTAACTAAATAACTAAATAAATAAATGAATGACTAAATAGACAAATAAATGAATAAGAAAATAAGTAAACAAACAGGCAAATAATAAATAATAACAACCAAGGATTAAGAATGAAAAGTAAATATCGAAATTGAGAAAAAAAGGAAACTGAAAAAAAAACTAAAGGAACTGAAAAAAAGCCCATTATGTCGCCGGCCTGTCTATGGCCACCCACTCGCGCTCGTTGCTGGCAGCCCCCCTCCTGGGCACCCAAACACGCGCTGCCCACCGGTGGCTCCACCCGCACGCCCGCCCCCCCCGCCCCCGCGCCGCTCGGCCCCGCCGGCCCCCCTCCCAGCCCCACCCCGGGTTCCATGCGCCCCGCGGCGCGCCCCGCCGGCACGACCCACGCACTGCGACCGCGGCACCGCGCATCGATCGCCCGCGGGCGCCCAAGTCACGGTGAGCCATCCCCCCCCACACGCGCAAACACACACAACAACCACACAGGATCCCTCACGCCCCTCTCGGCCACACTTTATCCCTATTCTCCAGCTTTGTTCAAAACCAACCCCTCTCCCGTCGTGTGTTTCTTCCCCCCCGTTCGGGATGTTGGCAGGGGAATACCATCCCCGCCGTCGGCTGTTTTGGCCCCCCGGCGGCCTCGCAGTCGAGCGAGGGGCCTGTGAATGGATAGGCCGGCCGGCCGCGGCCATGGGGGGACGCGAGGGTGCCCGCGCCGGCGGGATGCGGACAGGATCGGCGGCTGGAGGCGCGACGCCCGCGAAGCGGCGCTCTGTGGCGGGGGCCTGCGGCGGTGGCGGGATGCGGCCTCGGTATCGCCCGCGTCCCCCGCCACTCGCGACAATCCGGGGACAGAGAATCGTGGGGCCGAGCCAGTGAGAAAGGAGAATGGTTTGTGGCCACTGGGGGCAGGGGGCGAGTTGGTGCCATTTCCGCGGCCGTCACCGTCTGCGCGGCAAATTCGTGGGTGGGGCGATGCGGGGGGATGGGAACGGGGCTTCCTCGGGGGAGGGGGGGTCGCGTTGACTCTGCGCTGACTCTGGCAGCGCGACGCGCCGGCATTGCGCCCGCCGCGAGCACCGCGGTCGTGCGCGAATCAGTGGCGGCCGCTGCTGCGCCCTTCGTGCTGAATGGGGGTGATCTTTCGCGCCAGAGTTGCCCCAGCGCCATCGCAATCTCTAAAATGCACCGCCAGCGACTAGTGAGACCGGCGTCGATAGCTGAATGGGACCCCTCACCCTAGTTTCCTGCCTCTTTTGGGTCTGCATGCAGGCCCTGCTGGGGACAGACATAGTCCGATTACCGTAAAGGAGCAGCATCAGAAGTAGCTGAGTTTCCGGCCCTTGCACATGCCCCAATCTAAGATAGCTTCCAACAAGAATAGCCCTTTGTCTCAAGATGGGTGCTCCACGGGCCATTGCAGGGAATGGACGGCAGTGAAGTCGCCTTGGCTCCAAAACAGGGGACTCAGGAGCGGGGCGCCAAGTCAGGAGAGGAGCCTTCCTCTCCCGCCGGCTTCATGCCTTCCCCCTTGAAGAGGAAGATCGACACAGAGGGGCACATGCCTGAGAAGAGACAAAAACTGGGCCAGAGCTCTTCCCAGGTGTGCAAGCTGAGCGATTGGTATTGAGAAGAGACACTCGCCCTGCTCTTGCACCTTCAAGGCGACCATGTGCATGAGTCTTTGCCAGAATGTCCACAGTAGTGGGCACAACCTCCATTAACTCGTTGTAGATTCCAGAATCCAGGTTAGAATCTCCTCACAAGCTGCTGAACTGCGCCGCACTTCCCAGGTGGCCTCCCCAGGCCTGCAGGAGTCTGTGCAGCCGGCACCAGACGCCTTTGCCTTGGAATTGAGCCGGATCCTGGACAGAGTGGGTGGAGTGTCCCTTGTGCGCAACGTGCCCGGGCTGGAGAGGCTCATGGACTCGGAGCAGAGACTGAACTACCGGTGGACGCTGCTGACTGTGATCGAGCTGTCATCGGAGGAGTGCCTTAAGGCCCTTGTGCAGGGCCCTGGTCTGAAGGTGAGTGTATAGGAGGAGTGAGGGGCATGGTGTTGTACGATGTGGAAGGCGGGCGGTTGAAAAAATCCCGCTGAAGGGTGGCAGAACGGGACTGGATTGCGGTGTCTCTTCTATTGCGCTAGTAAGGGTGGCTGAGTTGAATGCAAAGTGACAGCCATGCCACCAGAACAAATGCACAACATTGCTACAAGCCAGTGCTTTGGGCCAACATTTGCAGATGGTCGGCATCCAGTTGGCTGATGCTGTGGCTGGTGTTGACTATGGGTAACACACATCTGGCGGTACCTCAGGGAAAGATCGCTGACCCTCATGGTCTTTGGACTGCGAATCTGGAAACCACGTTCCCAGCATCTAGTTTGGGACCCTTTCCCAGCAATAGAAATGCTGCACAATAGCTCATAAACTTTCTATTGGGCCAGCACTCACCTTTTGCCACTGTTCAAAATTCAGACCTTGGAGAGATGGCTTATTGAGGCGCGCGATGCGGGCAAGTCTGAGTTTCTGGCAAAGATAATTTCCCGCCTGGAGGACCTCCCTGTGGACATCGACTCGCTGAAGAGGTGCACAATAGGCAAGACAGTGGGCAGCCTGCGTAAGCATTCGCTGCCCAGTGTGAAGTCCCTGGCGGCCAGGGTTGTGCAGAAATGGAAGAGCTCACTTGGGGACCGGTCGGGGCAAGCCAAGCAGGACAGGCAAGCATCTGAATCTGTGCTGAGAACAGTTCTTGGGAAGGGTCTTTCATTTATTTTCTTTTCTTGGCTTAAATTTTTTTGCTTGCATTTGTCAAAGTGGCAGGAAAGTGCTGTGATTCTGTGTGGCATGTATGCAGTTTGTGATGTACTTTTTGTGGCTTGTGTGTTGTTTTGTATTCCTAGTGGTGGTCTGCAACATTGACAATGCATTTGGTGGTGCTTCACATGAAATGGCAGATGGTGTAGGTGTGAAAAGTTGTTCTAAAATGGTGACTTGACATGCTCAGCGAATGCCATTGTGATGACACGGTACCTGAGAGAGAATGTCTGGGAGATCTGCACATAAGTGGGCAGGTTATGTGCTGAAATGGAGAAGTAGAACGGTCTGGCTCAAGCTAAGCTGCAGACAATCTGTCATTCATTGTTGCTGGTACCCTTGTCTGCCTGTTTCCTATTCCTGTGGAGCGCATGGAAGAGACGGTGCAAGGACATACCGGCGTGCAGCCACAGTGATCATTGAGCCTTTCCCTTTTCCTGTGGCAAATGCAGGGACGGTGGCAAAAAGGAAGCTCCAAACAAAAGGAAGCCTGTGACAGAGATGGGCAGGCCAACCAGCATCCCTGTGCAGCCACAGACTCACATTGTCAAGGACGAAAGCAGCAGCACTGATGTGCAGCCAGCAGATTCTGGGGACCCTCAATCTGGCGCAATGGACTCGGAACACACAGTGAAGCAACCGAGGCCCCTGGACGATGGTGACCGCAAGGCCTCAGAGGCCTCAGGGAGCTCAGAAGCAGATGCTTCCTTGCAGAACCATGTGTCAGGGGCAAGCATCGAACTGGAGTCCAGTCCAAGCAGCAGGATCGAAGCCGATGGCAAGGGTAACGATGGGAGCCAGGAGCCATCTGCTTGTTCTCAGGATGCCAAGTTGGAGGGACAGGCTGATGTGATGCCGCTGCAGGGGTCGCAGGCAGAGGTGCAGAAGGTGAGGCTGGCGAACACATGTTTTTGGTGGCATCAGTCAGCAGCAACTGCTGTGAGTAAGAGATGAGAATCGCTCCCCTTCCTTGTGCTTGGGATTGTCAGACGCAGCTGGGATCCACAACAGTTTGTTTGCACTGTTTAACATTTCTTTTTCCCAAATGAAAGTAGGAGAGACTGCAGACTGATTGTTGGGTTTGCATTGTGAGTACCAAGCAGCAAGCAAATCACTTTAGGCTGCAACTTAGATTTGATTGTTGCAGATGTGTTCAAGGGAATGAATAGCACATTGCACACTGTGTGACTGATTGGCTTTGTCACGAAGCCAGTGGCAGACAGGAGAATGTTTGACAAGTCAAGATATGCAAAAGGCAAAAGCTGGGGAAACCATCTGTGAGTCACTGTTTGCCCAGGATCAATTTTGTTTGCCAGCTTAGTTTGGAACTATAGTTTTCAGCCATTGTTCGCTCTGTCTTGTCAGCATTCCATTGTTTGGTGCTGCGCTGAACTCTTGTCAGCTACCGGCATTACTGCGACTCGATCAACAAGCTATTCGCATGTTGAGTTTGCATGTGCCCTCCTGTTTTGGGAGCTGATCTTTTGCAGTGCGGCCCACACTATGTGCCCATGCATTTGTTGTGGGGGAAGTGTAGCAGCCGGTCAGGTGCATGCTGCATCTCTAGCTACAATTCCACCTTAAGTACACACATCACCATCACATCACTGCTCGTCATTAAATCTCAGTAACGAGACAAGGCATTGCCCTTGTACCTATCAGGTGAGCGATCTCAGTTGCTGTGCACATGCACTTGTACTTGTTCTCAAACTCCCTTCAGTGCTGTTCCCCGCAGTGCAGCCTTGAGCACTGCCCCCTGCCACAATCTTTACACCCACATCATGAGCTGGTCATGCTGACTGCCCACAGATCACTGTTTTCCAGGCTGCACCGCTTGAGAGAAAAGAGTCAGGAACGGGTGCAGCAGCCCCTGCAAAGAGCCGTCCTTCACAGCCCACCTGGCAGGATGTGTCGCGTGTCGTGAACTACGGCCGTATCCTTGTGGCTGAATCTGTGCAGCGAGCCCAGGCCAGGAGCGCAGCAACAGAGACTGATAATGGCCAACAAGGCCAAACCGACAATGCATCCGCAGACAAGGACTCAGACGGCGAAAGCTGCAGGCCTGGCAGCCCTGGCCATGAAGCCTTAGCCGATGCTGACAATCTGCCAAAGGGATCGCAACTGGGCACAGAACCGCCCAAGCAGCAGGGATCAGGTGCCGCTGCGAAAGTTAGAGACGCATCGGTTGAGGTGGGCTCATCGGGCAGCGATAAGCCAGCAGTGTCAGGCGCTGTCGATCCAGATGTCAGCCAGCTCAAAATGCAGCCTTCTGGTAGTGGGGAAGGGAACTTGGCAACTGGCAATGCTGGCAGCATGGTTCCCAATGCCCAAGGCTCTACACCTGTTGCCTCTTCCACTCGTACTCCCACCTCCACTGCCCCTCGAGTACCCCGGCCATGGCCAACCGCAGAACCCAAAAAGGAGGCCAAGGAGACCAATCAGGCACTATGGAATGCCACCGATGCATCCAGCCGCTCATCACCTTTTCAAGATGCGATGACGTCACTGACTCGGATGCGTGGTCCACCTTTGGCAAAGGGCGCCCGAGCCAAGTGGTCTGAGAGTAACAGGGCCGAGAGGGAGGGTGTTGGGGCAGGACCTGGTCCAGGTCGCCTGGGGGGCCTCAATTCGGACTTCTTGCCCCAAAGGGGCAGGACAGTTCTGTACGGGGCAGCTGCAAGGGCGGCGAGTGCGGCAGCAAGGTGCCCATCTCCAGAGCGTCGACCCAAAAAACCCAACGCCAAAAAGGTGTCCTTTGCACCAAACAACGAAATGCTGACTGTCAGGTGGTTCAAGAAGGTGAGGGAATTTTGACTCGTGCATGGTTTCCTGGGAGCATCGCCACCTGGTCACTCTAAATTCAGTGCTGAACATGGACAAGGGTGCCCAAGGGAGCTGGTCAGTGGCAGCACATTGCTCTAGGGATTGGGACATGTGGAGATCTGGTTTCGTTTTGGATGGCACTCAGTGGGTGATCAAAATATGGCAGAATGGCACCCTAGCCTGCTTAATGGATTGTATGTGATCCCCTGGTGGCATACAAGTCGCAGTACTTGAGTGGACGAGCTAGTTGCAGCAATCGAGTTGTTCGTGTATGCCTTTGAATGCAGCCTCGAAATGCACTTGAGCAGAGAATGGCAGGGCACCCACGAGGTGCACATGGTGTGCCAATGCTTCAAAGGGGGCCACAAGGCATTTTGTTGCCATCACCACAGAGCGCAATACGTGTTTTGAACTGGTTTATGTGGTTGCAAATTGTCATGTTAGCAGAATCAGAGTGTTGTGTGCATGTTTGGTCAGGACGATCCACCAACCAGTGTGAAGCAGGATGCCTTGCTCAAGCCAGAGGAGCTGCAGGAGGAGCAGGTGACAAGCCACGAACTGTTCGAGTCTGCCGCACGGCTGGAGCACAAGAAGGAACACGAGGCGCTGGAGAGGCAACGGCAAGAGCAGGCAGCCAAGAGGAAGGAGATACAGGTACCATGACCCAAGGTCCTCAAAGAGACGTTATGTGTGGGCGTATTATATCCTGAGAACCTAGTTCGTGCCTGTGGGGTTAAAAGACTGTATTTGTATCCCAGAAAATCTATTCAGCACTGAGATATACACCGAATCTGCACTGAATCACACCCACATGCGCCAAATACAGGTTGCCTGTGGGTTACGATGTTTCAGTCTGTGCTGCCATTAATCTGACTGCAACCTAATAAGATAAACCTGCACACCGTGCAGGTGCAAAAGTGCACAAAAGCATATGTTCTTCATGTGTTGTGTGGGCCTGATTTTGGCAATCTTGGAATATCAGCCCTGAAATCGTGCAAATGCTGTCATGAGTGTCACAAATGTCATTTGTGGACCACAGCTCACTGTGTTGTGTATGTAAGGGCCGACTGAATGGTATGAGACCAGCAACCTCATGGCATGCACCACTTGTGGTCACCCTACCCTCTGAATTGAAGGTGAGGCCAGCCCCAAAGCCACGACGCATGTCAACTCTTGACTGCCCAAAACAAAGGCACAATTGCAGCAGCACGTTTGCCTGCCTGCAATGAAGGTCGTTGGTGAAGGAATTTGACGCAGGGTTTTGGATAAGTGAGGGAACAGTGACAGGCTGTTCAAATGGGGAAGGGATGTTTTCCAACAGTTTCCCCTACACCTATTTGGTACTTGCATCCATTTTGTTCATGGAGTTTCTGCTTTATCTTCGTGCTTCTGTTGCAGATGCATCGTTTGCCTAAACTCCTGGGCATTACTGGCTTGGCCAATAGTGTGGTTGATTTCTTGAAACTTACAAAATATCACAATGCAACAGCACAGCGATGGAAGTGTTTGGTAGTGTTTAGCACTGGACAGATGCCAGACAGGCAGATTTTGCACTGTGCATGGCTCTTACATCATTCTCTTGGCCTCAAGCACATTTGCGGCTGCCTGCACAGTTGAGGTTCGGGGAAGACAGCGAAGAGCGCATCAACCAGTGGCACCGCGATGACATGCTGGTGCCCGAGAACTACAGCCGGGCTGCCATGATCCCAGATTCGCCAGCAGAGGCCCCCCGCCCAGAGCCTCAGGGCGATCCACCGGTTGTTATCCCCTTCGAAGTCCCCGGGAAGCAGAACAGTGAGCCACCTTCAAACAGCAGCCAGCCGGACTCTGGGGCCCAGGTCGCCAGCGCCGCCCCCACCTTAGTCATCCCGCAGGTTCCGGTCCCAGCGCCCATCGTGGGCACCCCTGGCACTGCGATACCACTGCCTGCCGGCTTGCATCCCGCCGTGGGTCAGTTCCAGCCAGGCCAGTTTAGGCAACTGGGGCAGGGCTTTCAGGCAAGGCCTGGGCAACAGACGATCGTGGTGCTTCAGCAGGGCATGCCAAATGGTGGTCCGAATCTGAACATTGTGCCATCGGTGCCCATGGGAGGGGGCATGGGTCCACTGTTCATCGCGGGGCCTGCTGGGGGGCCACAGGGGCTGGTGCAGATTGCCCCAGGACAGCAGTGGGGAGGTAAGTCATGGTTGGGGTCTTTGCACTGTTGATGGTATTGTTGGGGTTTTGGATCATGGCTTGTGGGGAGCCCTGGTTTAGCAGACCATATTGGCATTTGTCACTGGGCACTGGCAGCATCCGAAGCACAGTGGAATACAATATGCAGGAATGCCTGATGCATCCACAGCAGCCCATGTTGCATTGTCAGAATTTTAGATTGCTGGTTTTTTGAACATTATGTGCTTCAAGATTGCTCTTTGTCAGCAACACTAACAGATTGACACTGCACACAGTAACAATCTAAACAGCTGCACTGCTGGTCTCCAGTTTTGCCAGTCAGATTACTTCTGTGCAGCCCTGCTGGAGAGCTCAATTGGCGCTCCCCCCATGAATGTGCAGTGAATGAACACAGCGCACTGTGTATGGACAGCCCAAACAACTTGTGTCCTGCTTATGCGATCTTGCTGTCATGTGTAGCTACTGTTGCCAAGGCATTTCTGCTGCCACTTGCCCCTTCTCATTTTGCCTATTTCTGCGCCTCCCTCTCACCACCACCCTGTGCTTGCCAGTCGCTCCGCAGCATAACGTGATGCCACAGTTCACTCTCGTGTGCAACATGCCTGGGCAAGGCGGCTTCGCCCCACAAACCATCCTGAACCCCCAGCCGATGGTCAACATCGCAGGGGCGCCCACAGCGCCCATGAATGGCGACATTGGCAGCGGGGTGACAAGGGCAAGCCAGCCAATGGAACGAGAGGGCTGGGCTGGACAGAAGGGCAATGGCATCCAGGCACACAGATTCCAAGGCTGACAAACGAACTGGTACAGAGAGGTGAGCAGAATGCACTGTTCATTGTAAGCAACTGGCATTGGAGTTTCACTGCTGCATGTGGGGACAACCTACGGTGTTCATGGCCTTGTCGCAATGCCAACCATGTTGGGCCGGCAGAAGTGGGTAGATGTGAAGTTTCTGTTTTGGCAGAACGAAGAAAGTGCCTCATCGCTTGCAAGGAACTCAGCAGGAGCTTGCAGCAGTAGAATTCGAAGAAGTGGACAAGCTTGCAAACACGTGCAAGGACGCAGCTGTGTTGAAATTTGCCTTTGCTTGTGGTTTCATCTTTGACTTGGTCCTTTCTATTCTGCCTTGACATCGTTTTGAATGCTGTCAAATTCCAGTCCTATGCATCTTGGACAGCAATATTTCGTTGTCACAGAGGCTTGCTGCATGGTCGCATGTTTGATTGTACACCAGAGGTGGACACCTTGTTTATTTTTTGGCATGTTAGGGATGCTCTTGTCCCTCCTTAACCATTCACTCTGTGTTGTAAGACAAGAGCTGTTCAGTGCAGTAGTTGTCGCATAACCACACACTAATGGCACAGTCCTGTGCCAACAATTGCATTGGCTTGGATCCAGAGTGTTCGATCTCTCTTCCACCCGCCACCCTCACCCCACCCACCCACTAATCACCCTTCCCTTGCACTCATCCACCCACCAACCCCAATTCACTGCTCATATACATCTTCCCCGAAGTCTGGGTGAGCCAGCTGATCTTGCATCTATGCATCTATGGGTGGGGGCACCGTGTATTGTAGGGAGGACTCAGGCCTGCTGTTTTGCAGAGGCTGGCAGCGCTGTGGGCTGCGTAGACAGGGCACTGCTAAAAGTAGTCCCAAAATGTAAATACGACCTGCGGGATTTCATTTCCTCAGCTTGTTTTTCATTTGGAACATGGTATTTTTGACATTCAACATATCTTGAGTCGAACTGTGCTGTCTGTTCAGAGCTTCGTACTTGGGCTTCAAGCATGTGGATGTAGTTTGATTACAGTTCATCTGCCCGGAGGAGCCTGTGGAGGCCGTTGCTGCATGTGTGTCTCCGCATCCGACTGGGAAAATTCTGTGATGCTCAGGAAGGGATGTTGGACCTGTCGATGAGAACAAGGACTGGTCTGTGCACATGGAGCGACCAAGTGGCTGCTGGCGACTAGGTCCTACGGCCATCACATCAACGCATTGGACAGGGTGCGCGATGCATGGTCTGTTGCCACCGTTGGGCCCACACCTAAGCCAATACGGGTGTGGGGTGAAGGTTGCAAAATGGAGGTTGTGAGATGGATGAGGCAGATTGGGTGTTGGTGTAGGGGATGGCTTGGCGTGGTGTTTTTTGACTCGTTTTTACGCTCGTTCATAGGTAGATAGTTGGAGGGAGGTTGTACAAGAAATGCTAGGCATCGCGATCGGACATGACGGGGGGTTTGGACGAATGTAATAATCATATCATGTCACAATTGATTTGAGGCGCTGAACGTCGCATGACAATCATACCGAATCATACCCAATATCGTATATGATCACGCCATATTTTGTGAATATGTGCCATCTGATGCACAACAGCTTGGTTATTGGATTGTGGCAATATCTTGGTTCTCACGGAACAAATTGTTCACACGGCTTTGCTTGGGCGAAATGGGGGGCTGGTGGCTACATCCTCCCATTGATATGTAATTGTGTTGATGATGACAAGTACGGAACGTACCCAGAGACTGTTGTACTCCACTGTTTAATATATCAACCCGAGGTACCCACACCTAGAGTGTGACTGGTTGCTTCGCACTTCATTATCCTTCACTCAACCGGGACACCGGTTGGGTGCGGAACAGGATAGAGCTGGGAGCGAGGGGAGATCCTGTATAGCAGTTGTTCGATTACAGTCCATTCTGCTCAAGTAAATGGCCACCACTGTAATCGAGAGAAAACCGTAGAGAAAGGAAAGGTCAATGTGCTCAGCAGAAATCACATTGAACCGCATGACATACGGTTACATTTAGTGGTCATGCAGCTGCTGAATGATCAAGGCAAACGTATGCACACTCAACTTCTCTCCAGTGCACACGAATTGATGCATTTACAGCTGAGATGTCCTCCATCTCGCTGTTTTGCAATGCCGCTCATCAGAACCGTCCAGAATGAGCAACAATGACGTCAATTGAAGAGCACTCTACGGGCAGCACGGACGGCTGTGACTGGGCTGTGAACTGGTCAAGGAAAAGGGCGAAAACTAGTCAGCTGGAGCCGCATGCTGACGGGATACAATACAGTTTGACGGTGATGGAATTTGGGTGTACAGAATTGGGTTTAGTATGCGATTATGGTAGATTGTCCAGTACTATTAGCCGGGAAAAAAGAGGCACGGTGTGTGCAGGGCGTGTGGTGATGGACCCTGAGTGAGAGGTTGGCCGGTTTGTGAGGGCCTTTTGAGTGACTTTCAGAGGGAAAAAGGGCCAATTCCTGACCCGTTTTGGGGAGACCATGAACCGTAGGGGGTGTCCTTGAATGGACCTGAACTTTTGCAAAAGGTCCTAGGACCTTGATGGGACAGGTACTGGCAGGGTATAGGGGTCCAGTGAGGCGTGATGGGACGTTGGGTGTGGCTGCTAACAGTACTTTGTGGTTTTGCACCTGTACGGGAGACCGCCCTTTTGATATTTCGTGTAATGTACCGTATGTCGGACGTGACCGCGCCCCCCTGCATCTGGTCCGCGCGGGTTGCGCCTGCACCCCGCCTACGCCCGCTCTGCCCGGTCTGCTCGGCGCGCCGCAACACCCCAGCCTCCCCGACCGTGCAAGGACCGTCGGAAGCCCTCCCTCGCCATGGCCGAAGCATCCCCACGTTCCGCAGGCGGGTCGAACGTGCTCGCATTCGGTGTGGGCGGACCCTCCGGTTCCGCCATGCTCCATGGCGGAGCGGTGCTTTCTCTCCCTCCGGGGATATTTGTGGATCCGTGCACGCAGGGATGAAGGGGCCCGGGCGAGCCTTTGGTCGGCCTGGACGAAGTGGGCAAAGTGGTGCTCGCGTGCCGCAATGGGCTCGGTGGGGCGGAGGCATGGGCCATGGCCTCCGGCCCAGGAACGCCCCTCTTTTGGATCCATTCCGCTTTTGATGCCACGACTCGGTGGCGAGTAAGGCACCGAAACGGCCAGCTGTTTGCCGTTCAAGCCTACTGGGTTGCAGCGATCCCCAACGTCCGGTTGGGTGATCGACTTCAACGGAGTGTGTTTGCCGCGAATTGGCACGGCGAAGGAGCTTGGAGCATCTCCGAGCGAGATGCTTGGATGGCCGCCGAGCGCGACGGCCCGGACAGCCCGCCCGCGCCATTCGCGTGGGCCGGAGAAGGGAGTGTGGGCGGCCTCGCCGAGGGAGACGGGGGGCTGCCGGTGGGGATGGTGGAGCGCGCCACCCGGGCGTACTGGAGGGTGGTCGCTGCGTCAAGGTGGAAAAGTTACGTAATGACTGAGTGGGAGGTGGAGCTGCCAGGCCCGGAAGGAAACTGGATGATGCAGGGGGTACAGTTAAGGGCCCGTATGTCGTACATGGGGGAGAATGAGGTGGAATGGATTAGGCAGCCGGGAGACACTACCCACTACGGAACTGTGGGGTGTGATGGATGTACTTGGGATGAAAAGTGCATTAGGTGTATTTTTTGTTTGGATAGGGGGGTTCCCCCTAGTTTGATTTTTCAGGAACCTACAGCGGTTAGTACTTCGCAGCGTGAGTGGGAAGAAGATGTACAGCAGTACATCTTCATGGGAGTACTTGGCGTGTGTTGTGGAAACATATGGGGGTCGAGTGAAGTAAGGCCTGTAGTCATTTACTAATGCCTACTAGTGGAAACTGATTCATTATATAGCTTATTTGTGAGCTGTAGATACTCGTAGACCTATTACATGCTAGAATCCCCCAAGTAATAGTGAAGATATGGCCTAGTGGAGTTTTAGTACTTTAGGGACAGGCCATGGGGGTATAGTGGGCTACGATGTATCGATATGGGTCGGTTCTGGGGTATGCTGGGCGTGAGTGACGGTTGCACTATGTACTGTATCATGGATGTCTGACTGTTGTGGGTGATTGGCCCTGGACCGGCCAATCACCGTGCACAAGGGGGAGGTTCGGTCCAACCCCTCGTTGTTACCGTTCTGGCTCACCGCCCCGCTCCGCACGGGCCTCACGGCCCGGGGAGCAACCGCCCGCGCACTCCACAGTTCCCGAACAGCCGGACCGCCCAGGCCGCATTCCTGGGACCGTGACATCCGAATAGAGCGAGCGAGCGCCCCGATTACGCCCGCCTCCCGCGAGGCGGAGGTGTCCGCGCCGAGCATGCGCAGACCACCGGGCGACGGAGGGATCCGGGGGCGCCGACGAAACCACGGCGTTTGGGCCCACGCGCCAAGTGGTTTCGGAGCCAAGGCAATCGGCGGGAGGACGCGAGATTGAAGCATCTGGAAATGAGGAAGCATCGCGGATGGAGCAGCTACCCCGAGCATGAACGAATGAAGCGCCGCGAATGGAAGGACCCCGGCCATCCTTTAAGGCCATGGGGTGGTGGATTCTACGACAAGGTTTCGGCGCCGATGGAGCTCGGGGGAAAGAGTGCCGCTTGATGAACGCGGCGGGAGGTGAAGGTGGAGATCAAGAGATGCAAGGCGATGCAACGCCAATTCTGTGCGGCGAACGGCATGGAGCAAGTGGCGAAGGAATGCCAAGGCGTTGGAAAGGCGAAGGGTCGCCGATGGTGCAAAGGTAGAGCGCCATTTCGATGGCGCCGGCGAGTGAGAATGCGGAGCAACGGCTCCCCGCGGAAAATGCGCCGGCGGCAAGCGATGCTGCCGTTTGAATTGCGGGTGTTGAGCTTGCAAGCGAGGGGCAAGGCCGGTGGAAGGCCGAGCGAGTGAAAGTGACCGAGATTGGGCACCCCCGAACGGTGGAATTGGGGGGTGCAGGTCGTTGGTTTTGGAGGTGCGTGTAGCGGCC